AAAAAAAAGTCATAGTATAGTAAGGCATACAATGTCGAAAAAGTCATAGTAAGGCATAAAATGTCAAAAAAAAAAAGTCATAGTATAGTAAGGCATAAAATGCAAAAAAAAAAGTCATAGTATAGTAAGGCATAAAATGTCAAAAAAGTCATAGTAAGGCATAAAATGTCCAAAAAAAAAAAAGAAAAAAAAGTCATGGTATAGTAAGGCATACAATGTCGAAAAAGTCATAGTAAGGCATAAAATGTCAAAAAAAAAAAGTCACGGTATAGTAAGGCATAAAATGTCAAAAAAAAAAAAAAGTCATAGTATAGTTTAAGCATAAAAGTCAAAAAAAAAAAACAAAAAAAAGTCATATTTATCATAAAGCCATGAATCGTCCAAAAAAAAAAAAAAAAAAAAAGTCATAGTATAGTAAGGCATAAAATGTCAAAAAAAAGTCATAGTATAGTAAGGCATAAAATGTCCAAAAAAAAAAAAAATGAAAAAGAGAAAATTATCATAAATTGCAGATAAACTGAACAAGCAAATAATAAAAAGCTTTTCTCTCAGAGAAATTCTTATACCTCTAATTAAAACCAAATTTTATATTTCTTCCAGGAAACAGATTCGTTTTTAATTATAGACTCATAAAATAAAGCGAAAAAGCTCATGTTTTTTTCAGCCTGGTTTAAATCTTCTGTTGCCATTTCCTGTTGACAATTCAGACAGTTTACCTGCTGGTTTATAGTTTATCTGTTACAGCTTGAGAAAAACACTCCCAGAGTCAAAGATTTCCTTCTCTATGAAAACGGGACTAACAGATCAATACAAGAATTATTCCCGAAGGTCATAAAACCAATTTCATAATAATTTTTGCTAGATTCATTTTTTTTCTTGAGCTGAAGAAGCTCTGACTTCACTTTGTGTAAAACCAAACCTACGTCAGAGTAAACATTCTGTGTGCCAGTCAGTGCCTACAGTGTTTCTGTGTAGCTTCAGATTAACTGACAGAGGAACATCTCACCTCTCTCTGGGATCTTTGTCAGCAGGTTGATTTTCGGAGCGACTCCACCTTCTCTGGAAACTTCAACTGACCAGTGAACGAACAGGAAGCAGCTACAATCAGAAACACAAACATTAGTCAGTTATTTCTACAGCCAATAATCACACATCTGTCTCAAGGTGTTTTAGAGTTATTTTTGTCCCAAGACCCTGGATTCAGAAAAACCGTCACAGATTTCAGTGTCGTTTTTACAGCTGTGCTCCATCAGTCAGAGTATTTATTAATCCAGGAGGGACACTTCAGTGTTACAGCACCTACTTCACATAATAGTACAATTCAATTAAAATGCCAATAACTAAAATATAAAAATGTAAAATATAAATACAAAACTGATTATTGAGACTAAAGACAGGATGATAACATTAAATTTAATGAGCACTGAATTCACACTGTACAGCAGGGGTCGACCGTGTGCCAGTTTGTTTTCTGAATCGACTTTTACAGCTTTGGTGGAGATGCTGCCAAATGTGAATATTTTATGTTTGAGTATTTTATTTCTTTTATGCATCAATTACATTTATAAAACTGGTTGTATATTGTACCTGAGGGCAGATTTACTAACTACCATCTGCTAGTGTTAATTATATGTTGCAAAGTCATATTCATTAGGATTTACTTGATGCTTGTATTTACATTCAGTAGATTTGGAGAAAATCTTAAATACAGTTAACTATACACTGAATATACTGTATGTATAATGTATGAGTATGTAAATAATGCACATGTATATACAGATAGTTATTTACCCCGGAAGCTCGGGATGATTCAGGGTCATGACCTCTGACCTGCAGCCTCCAGGAAGAGAGACGATGGACGGATACTTCTCCTGCAGAGAGAGAGAGAACTTTTTATTATCAAATTATCATAAGTTTGATGTCAGTAGGATTATTAAAGATGAAAGTATGTCAAAGAAAGTTAAGAAAATTTTGAAGTCAAAAGAAGAAGAATGAAGAATCAGTGCTTGTTCTTTAACCATAAAGAAAGTTCTCAAGAGCAATGTCTGACTTTTTGACAACTAAGGTCATTTGACTCTCAAGGTGAGTATTACATATTTCCTCGTCTGTAGTCAGGGTTGGTAAACTGACGCCCATCACAGCTGTTTTCCATCATCTTTAAAGCTGCATCAGTTTAGCCTGTGGGCGGCGCTACAGCATCTCTATAACAACCCGAACTCTGAGCCTCATTCATCAAACTAAAACACGCGAGCTTGTACAGAAGGAGCTTCGTACTGACACAACATTAAAGTGGAATACGGAGCCATGAGGAAACCAGAGGAGTGAGAGCTCATGCTGCTGTTTCACACAGCTGGATGAATGACAGTCTCTTCAGTTCCTGTTAAAAGTCTCCAGTTTGTTTTGCATCATGAAAAAAAAAACGTGAACTTTAAACAAAGATCTGAAGGAAAAGATTCACAAACGAGATTCTGTTGATTCTGGAGTGAAATCTGATCTAAACAGCCTGATCATAAAATATGTATTTGATTTATTTTACTGCCTACACACACACACGCACACACGCACACACCCCCTAGGCAGTGTTTTCCTATACTCTTCACTCTTTAGGGGTGTGTCCAACAGGTGAGGGGTGTCCAGGTGACTCAACTGAGAGGCATTTGCAGCTCTGTGTGTGTGTGTGTGTGTGTGTGTGTGTGTGTGTGTGTGTTTTGTCTGTAATCAGAACCAGGTCCCTGCAAGTTTTTACTCCCTGAACCTGTCCACATGAGACCAAAACCAGTTCTTAATTTCCTCCACTGTGATTGTACTGAGTAGATTATTATAGAAAAGTCTCATGAGTAAAATTATGAGAAGAAACAAAATTCAATAATAAATTAAAAAACAAACATTTACTCTGCTCCCACCAGCAGCCGTTCATTAAAGTAGTAAGTAGTTATTGTATCACATTTTCCAGCACTTTGCAGAAGCATATAACAATAATTCCTAATGATATAATTAATTTAATTAATGCAACCTGGATCTCGATTAGCAGCATAAACGATAATTGACGGATGGATTAAACCAATTAAAAATGATTCATTAATTTTACTTTGTTGCCAAAATCAACACATGCTCATTATGAGACGATGAGCTCCCTAACGACTGGAGCAGCAGCAACAACTGTTTGTTACAGAAAACACGAGCCTCCTGTGTTCACGGTCCACTCTGGCAACAAAGAACCAGGTCTAGAAGTAATGTCTCAAGACTTTTCAATACCACAATATTAGTATTATTATCCTGAGAGGTACCAGTGTAAATACTTTCAGCTCACTCCACGTAAAATCAGCTTGGCTGTACAAATGCAGACAAGCCAGTGCAGGATCACCTGTAACATGAGGTTACATTTCTCCCTGTGATGAACTCCTAATGTTTTTTTTCTTTATCATATGAGTAAAGTGAATGTTGATGTTAAAGAAAAGTTGAAATCAGGTTAATAAAATCCTTTTTTTCTTCTTCCTCAGTGGTGACTCTGAACAGATGCAGCTCTGTGTAAAATCTGTTAAAATGCAAAGTGTCTGGATTAAAATCACTGACGGGCAGATGTAACATGAAAACCATCGACGTCAGCCTGTGCAGAAGAGAAGTCACGAAGAAAACTTCCAGTTGTCTTTATCTCAATCTCTTTATCACATCCGCTGATCATAAAATCCAGGCGTTGTCATGAATGTGGATTTCTGCTAATATCAGACATGGATCAGTTTTCATCGGCCTCAGCTGGACGTTATCAGCCTCTGGTATTAATGACGTGATCATGCTGCTGGTGGTAGATGAAAAGTCCTTTGGTCCCATCCGTCTAATGGTTGTTGAGATGTTTCATGTTTTCTGGATCAAAGTGTTTGTAAATCGACTCCTTTGATTGATTTGGCGCACTCACATACACTGCTCGCCAAACTGATGAAGCAGCCGCGACGCGTCAATCAAATGTTATAAAACTTGCTGCTTTCAGTGAAGGTTAATGTGCAACGATGCTGGGGAACGGGACAGTGGTGTATCTGGAGGTGTCATGATTAGTTGATCAGTTAATTGTTGCAGTTATTGTTCAAGTGAAAATACTGGAAAATGGTCAAACATTCTCTGGCTGCAGCTTCTCAAATGTGAGGATTTGCTGCTTTTCTTTGTCATAAATGACTGTAAACTGAATCTTTTTGGAGTTGGGACAAAACAAAACATTTAAAGATGTCACTTTGGGCTCTGGGAAGTTTTCACAACATTTTTTTCTCAATTTTTTTGACACTTTATCACACCATATTGATCAAAACAAAATCAAAGAATACTCTACACATGTGGGTTTAAGTGTTGTTCGATATATGTTTCATTACATTCGAGGACACTTCATGAGTCACACGTTTTCCACTTTGAATCCAGTCACTCAGTAGAAAGTAAATACAGTGCACTTGGTAGAAAACTGAGCTGTTTCAGACACAATCAAAACATCCTTTGAATACTTATCTTTCAGGTGTCATTTCACTTTTAGCTGAGACATGAAACCTTTCTTGATTTTATTTATTCTTTACTTATATTATATTATATTATATGCTAGCAGCTTGCTAATAGTCCAAATCTAATTTCAAGTTCAAATTTATTGTCATTCATCCAAGTTAAATATTGAATTCTCTCCACAGTAACAAAAAACAGCTGCCCAAGGTCACACTGGACTTTCTGAAAATAATTTTCTACTTATAACAAACACACTGAGTTGCCAGTTTAGGTACAAAAAACTAAAACTAACTCAGTCTAATGCAACAGTCCTGCAATAAATCGTTGTTTGTTGTTATGTTGTGGTGAAATTTTTTTTAAATCACTTTAGTGTCAGCCAGTTAAACTACCTGTTTTCTGTTGTTTTTCCTCTGTAGTTATTTTATACAGATTCTTTCTCATCATATTTACTCGTATCATAATCATGCTGATTTCAGGTTGAGTTAGTTCGCCTTCAGGACTTCTCCTCGATCTGTGTTGCAGGGTTTTTAGTTAAACATGCTGAGCAGAAAGGAGTTTCAGGTGAAGTTTTTCTAGCTGACACTGAGGTGGGATGTTTGTTCTTGTGTGACCTCTGACCTCTGTGCTGCTGTAAACTCTTCACCTCGTTCAGAAATGAAGCTGCCGTCACGCCTCAGCTCATCTTTATAAATGGTTTTTTTTTATCCTGTTCACTGTGCAACACGTGGATAATTGACGTCTGTCGGTCTGCTTTGTTGTCTTTCTTCAATATCCTGCAGCATGTTGGCAGTGTCCTCCCTCAGTAAGGAAGACAGCTGACAGACCTGTCTCTCTCTCTCTCTCCTTCTCTGTTTATCACTCGCTCTCTCTCCCTCTCTCATTCTGTCTCAGCCGCAGTACAAATCCTGGCTTTCCTTCACAGCTCTATTAGCCTGCTCTGCTCTACACAACTGCTCCACGCTCTGAGACACGCCGAGAAACAAACTCTCTCTCTCACTCACACACACTTAGTATCACACAGTATCATCACACAGCGACACACACACACACACACACACACACACATCACACACCACACGGTGTCCCGCCCACCCCCCTCCCCGCCGTTCACAATACACACACACTTCTCCTGGAGCTCCTGCAGAACCAGAGGGGGAGAAAACGGGGTGGAAGAATTTGGCCTCAAGTCCTGCAGCCGCCTTCAAACTGCTGGTAATGTAGAGTTAATGTCTGTTTGTCTGTCCTCAGCTCCTCCCCACTGTCTCTCTGTGTGTCTGTCTGTCTGTCTTTCGTGATTTGTAAACAGCTGTTTCAGTTTCTGCAGAAGGTTTTTTTTTTGTAGAGGATCTCCTTCAGAGGTCCAAAAAGAAAAAAAATCTTGTTCTCATGATTTACAGGACAAAACCTAACAAGGACTTGTCCATTTAAATGCAGCCCAGACCTGAACCAGAGTGGAACTAAAAAAAAAAAACAACAACCAAAAAACATATTTGTAACTTTATGGATACATGTACACGTCTGTGCACTTCCTGGTTTTCATGCGGCACTCCTCAAATTTCCCCTCAGCTCACTGGTGATGTTCTGTTGTGTTTCAGAACATTAACTATGAGCTGGGAGAACATTTGGAAGTCCGAGGAGTGCTGTAACTAAATCAGACCGACCATCTTTATTCAGGTTTCAGGCAGTTGTTGGTTTTGATCAAAATAAATACAGAAAATTCTCTGGATTAAAAAAAAAAAAAAAAACCCAAACAACCCTAAAACAGAAAATAATGAGCTCATTCAACAATACTACTTCCACATGGCTTTGACAGTGTTTACATTCAGCAAAGAAAAACTTTACTTCAGCTGTTTTCTTTTCATCAGTTTGTACAAACAATGTGATGAGACTGAGACTGTGTCTTTAAGACTTGACCTGACTTAAACTGCATGCTACTGAGACACGAAGTCGACCTAAGACCTGGCGCAGGTTGTAGTAACTGTACGGTTCGGTGACAATGGAAGGCGAGTTTGTTTAGTTTGTTTGGTTCTTGGTTGAGGAAAACAGTCTACTGAATGGTTCCTTCCCTCAAAGGTGCAGAACAGTTCATGCTGGCTAGTAGCTTGTTGCAGTTTGTTAAAAGTACAACTGAAGACAGAAGATGTGATTTGGGGTCATCTTGGTCTCTAAGGGCATTATCAGTCCTACAGAAACTAAATATCACATAACATCTATCCATTGTCTGGTCCTATTATTTCCACTGTTTTCCACTTACTTCAGGGATGAGTTCCTGCAGCCAACAGGCAGGAAGTGACAATGAAGGCTGTGGATTGTGATTGGTTGAGCAGATTTCATTTGTTAGCTTAATCAGAACAGAGCCTCTGGGATCCAATCACACAATTCACACGACACATTAACAAACAACATAAACTCAAATTCCAGCACCCCGTTACACCAACTCACAATTAACGTGACGTCACATTACAACAAGGATGACTACAACAAAAGCAACAACAGAAATCATAATTTTACTCCTGCGTCTGTACAAAGCAGGACAACTAATCCTGAACAGTGAAGAGCCCCTGTTGGACAAACATCCACTGTCACTATTGTTTGTGGAGAGAAGGAAGCTGGAATCAACGGCTAGAAACCAAAAGGTCCAGAAGTTTTATCAGAGCGACAACACGCAGCGAAGCAGAGCACGGAAAATCAAAAACATGAACTAGGATGATAGAAAAATAAACCCCATAATTCTACGGCAGAGCAAACTCGAGGACTCGACAGAAACTGTATGAGACGATACATGGTTTTACAGATGCCAGAGAAACAGAAGCTAAACTGGACGTGTTCGTCTGTAACCACGAACAGCTCCAGAACCTGGAAGCTGAGTTTTGATGCAGCTCAGAATCTGTAATGTCAAAGTTTTTACAGTGGATAAATCATTTAACCTGTAAAATAAGTTTAAGGGACGTCCAAAGAAAAGAGCCAAAGCCTAAAGTAGATGTTCCTCAGTCCAAAGTTAAACTGTTTTTGATTCAGTTGGTTCATAAAAAGAAGAACTGATTGTTGTTAAACTGAGGAAGTCAAGTAATCTGACAAGACATGACTTAACGGAGACAGAAAAATGGAGAAAGGAAATGGACTGTCTGTGCAAACGGGTTCAGAGATGGTTATCAAAAATGATCTCTCTTGACGTACTGGGCTTTGGAGTTTAAAAATTCCAGTAACACGTGTCAATGAATTAATTAACTCACTGAATAAAATGTAATTTATTGGTTAAAAGTGACATTTTTAAGCTTTAGTTACAGAAAAGTAAAACAAGCACATGCTGTCTCAAACAAGTCACTCTTCACGACAACATGCTTATCAATCTGCACACAGTGGTGTTAGAAATAAAAAGTCAAATTATTTCCCCAAGTCCAGTTAATAAGTAAAATACTGAAGTGAACAAACAGAGCAGCAGAAACAGCAGCAGAGAAAAACTTGGGTTTTAAACACTGTCTGGGTTTCGTTAAACTAAACTCCAGGTTATTTTTATCCTCTGCTGTTCCTGCTGGAAGTCTCTCCGTCTGAGCCTGCTCATCCAGAAACTGAACTGCTGAATATTTTCCATTTCTGTTCCCTCCCTCCTGTTTTCTTTCCTGTCTCAGCACACTTGGATCCCTCTCTCTCTCTCTCCTTCTCTCTCTTTGTCTCCTGATCAGCTCTGAAATCTGGTTTCCAATTGGTTGGTGCTGAGTCGAGGAGGGAGGATCTCAGCCCTTCAGTCTGTGGAGCTTCAGACTTAAGTTTTCTTTCATCAGAAAAAAAGGAAAAACAAAAGTGAATGATTAAAAGACTGTGGGCGGATGTCACAGATAAGGGAGATCCACTTACCATGACGTGTAAAATGTGCGCTGTGCTCTGGAAAAACTTCATGGGAGCTGTAGTTTTTTGAATATTAATCAATTATTGTTTAACCTTTATCATTTATCTTAAACCTCATTCACCTCTTTTTATCCATTTCACCTCATCTGGATAAAATCCAGGTTTAAAACACTTAGGCTGTGTTCTCACTATAAAGTAAACTATCAAGTGTCTCTTATATTGTTAATGGTTAATGAGTGAATTAGGGAAACTTTTGACACGACACTGGCCACATAAACTACTGTGCAAAAATTTCTGGCACTTTCAATGTTTAGATTCTTTTCCATCAGACAGCACCATCAGGGAGGCGTCTGATCAGTCCCAGATTAATTCTGCAACAGGACAATGAGTCCAAACACACTGCTAGAGTCATAAAGAACGATCTCCAGAGACAAGAAGAACAGGGAGTCTTGCAGCAGATGGTCTGGCCCTCACACTGTCCAGATCTCAACATCATGGAGTCAGTCTGGGATCACATGAGGAGACAAAAGACACTGAGACAGACTAAACCCACAGAACAAATGTGGCAGTTTCTCTCGCACGGCCCACTCATGCTGCTCCTTCACCCATAAATGATCAGTGTTATTTTTGTAGTATCATTCAGGTTTCCATGAGCTAATTCAAAAAAAGTTAGTAAAAGGTCTTTGGCACCTCAGATGATTCTAACAACACTATGAAATCGAGTCGTATCCAGTAAATGCTTGTTGTTTGGGTCAGTGTTAATGTTAGGACTGGAGCCAGAGTCGGATTACAGTGACTTCTAATTAAAGGCTGATATCAGCTCCATGAACTGATCTGAGCCCAGTTATTAGAGTGAGATGTGGATTATTTCTCGTTCTCAGAATCAGGATCTGGACACAGGATCCAGGATTAGGTTGAAATATGCACCGAGAGTGAAAACCAAGGCTCAGTCTTTCTGCGTGAATGTTCCTGGAGTGCTGCTTTTACTCTACACTGTAACAGAGGGGCTGTGGAGACACTCCTGCTGCATAAAGTCTGTTGAAATAACAAGAATAATAACTGTCCTAAAACATTATAATAAAAACCATCAAAAAACCGCATTGAAATGTGAAGAGATAAAAATAATAAAATAAAAATAACACGCAGAAAAGATACTTGAAAAACCACCACGGCTCTGTTATGAAATAAAAGCTCTAACAGACATATATATTTGATCAACATGACAAAGCTCCATTGACTGATTTTTTGGCCACTCGAGGGCAGGAGAACAAGTTTCAAACACATCTTATTTATCAAATGATAAAGTAGCCAGGGCTAACATGCAGCAGCTAATTTCCACACAGAGCAACATGATAGTCCAACAGTCACTGTCCTTTTAGCTCCGGTTTGGGTTCCAACAACAATATCTATAATAAAATCTGGGCCTGGATGCGGGAGGTTCTGGTATGTTCACTGCTAAAAGCTGCAACAGGCTGAAAAGCTCATTATCTGGGTTCAGATCTACAGCGACAGAATGAGAAACAGGTCAGCAGCTCACAGTCTTTCAGACGAGCAAAAACTAAAGGTCTCCATCCCAACAAACCGGAGGATCCTATGATTTAACACCACAAACTCCCATCATGCACTGGGGCACAGCTACAGAACATTTATTACTGTTATTGAGGTTGATACAGAGAAGTGGTTCAATCTGCGCTGCGCCATTCAGAGGGGGAATCAGACAGAAGACAAACTATCAGGTGTGAAGGTGTGTGTTAGATCTTTGCTTTAATAATGACAGGACTGCTGTCTATAGACTAGTCATTACACACACACACACACACACACACACACACACACACACACACACACACACACACACACACACAGAGGGAACCGGCCATTAGGACCCCAGATGAGACCTATATGAGGACCAGCAGCAGCACTGACAGCTCTTTTTGTTGCAGAAGCTGCTGCAGGTAAAAACTTCTTTCTTTCTTTCTTCTGTCTATTTTTCTGCAGCTGGAGAAAGAACATGGATCTGTGTTTTTTTTAGTTTTTTTTTTGGTTTAGTTATTTTAATAAGGTGAGGGCAGACAGGTGGGGAATGACATGAAACAAAGGTCCCTGATCGGACTCAAACTCTGGATACTGTGGGTCATGGACAGGGCCTTGAACTCCAAAGCGATGAGGCGCCCAGTGTTTCTGAACTTTTCATTTCCAACCATGGCTCCTGGGAAAATGAACTGTTTTCCATTTTCCTTTTGTCTTTGATGCATCACAATAATCTGTTGGAATCCTGCTGAGGAACCATTGAAGTCTAGGTTTGGGTATGGAACCCATTTCTTCTTGGGTACAGCCCAAAATGTGTTCACAGCATTTAGTATCAAAAACTGTACGACTGCTTGTGTTTATGCTTAGACTAATTTAACCTTGAAGAACTCTGAGAAGCTTCTTTTGTCAAATGACCAAAAGGGTTTTGTAGAAAAAAAAATGTGTTGACAAAAGTAAAGCTTTGGTATCAGTACCTAGATGGGTCACAATGATTTCTATCAGGGCCCAGCCCTCGTGAAGTAGCGGTTCCTGTGAGGAAACCTGAATCCTGTCTGTTCTGTTCTGCAGGGATGAGGTGGTGGCTGGTGGTGGCCAATCTGTGGCTGCTGGTGGTCCTGACCATCCCAGACACCCAGGCCAGGAACAGACCTTACAACCAGGATGGTGAGACACGCCGGGGGAAGAGGATGAGAGACGGACCGGGTAAGACTCCCACTCCAAATCCTCTCGTTAGCCATCGTACAGTCAGATGAGTGGACTGTTGTCAGATCCAGGGTGTTTAGCCTAGCTTAGCACAAAGGATGGAAGCACTGCGAGTCTACCTCAATCAAAAGTGAAGAATTCAATTTATAATCTTGTTTTCTGATGTAAAAACCTCTAATGACATTAAAAACCTATAATATATCCCGAGTATCTCAGGCCACCCTACTGTTTTTATTTTATGTGAATACTTCCAATCTGTTTGTGATCCAAATGTATTATTAGCTAATGATTTAGCCATTTTAACTTTGTACGAGAACGGGAATACATTAAAGTTACGTTCGTCTGAAGCCAGGGCTTCACTAAAATGAAGAAGTGGCTCTCTCTCCTCATTTGGCTGAAACAGAATTTATTTATTTTGGCTCAGAACCAAGAACAAACAAGTTTAGGTCAAATCTGGGATAAGAATAAACTGTATCTGTAAACTGAGAATAAGACTAGATACTGCTGTCTGTCTGTCTTTATAAGTTTCTGGATAGATATAGATGAACATTGATATGACCATGTGTTGCAGGTCCCGGGCGAGCCAGAGCGGGGCGCTCTAGACCTCTGAAGATCAGACTGGTCCCTGGTCCCAATGTCCCAGTCGAGCCCAGCGGAAAACAAGGAAACACTGTGTTCCTGGAGTCCTACAAGAACCTTCAAGACCAGCACTCCAGCTACAACATCATCCCAGGTCAGTGAGACCAGTAACTCAGCCCAGTAAGACCAGTAACTCAGCTTTAACCCAGGGCAGTGAGACCAGTAACTCAGCTTTATCCCAGGGCAGTGAGACCAGTAACTCAGCTTTATCCCAGGGCAGTGAGACCAGTAACTCAGCTTTATCCCAGGGCAGTGAGACCAGTAACTCAGCTTTATCCCAGGGCAGTGAGACCAGTAACTCAGCTTTATCCCAGGGCAGTGAGACCAGTAACTCAGCTTTATCCCAGGGCAGTGAGACCAGTAACTCAGCTTTAACCCAGCCCAGTGAGACCAGTAACTCAGCCCAGTTAGACCAGTAACTCAGCTTTAACCCAGCCCAGTGAGACCAGTAACTCAGCCCAGTTAGACCAGTAACTCAGCTTTAACCCAGCCCAGTGAGACCAGTCACTACTAAGAGATGTTCTGATCAGGCTGTTTAATGTTGACATCGATTGTAATTCAACATAAATCACAGTGACTCGGTTAGATACAGTCCACCTGATGGTTTCTTAAACATAATAGTAACTACTAATATCAAAATGTACTTCATCACATTTTGTTGAATTGTGTTTAATCAACACAATTCAGTGTCGCCTTTCTCTGTAAATGATCCCAGAGGAGCTTAAACCATCTGATGATTTATACACCTCCTAAATCTGACGAGTCAGAGTTTCCATTACCATTAATACATCAATCCTTATGACCGTAACAAGTTCCATTATGTTCAATTGTGTTTTGTGGTTGCATTACTGGAAGAGAAGCTGTGTGGCAGGAAACCTTTACTCATAATCTGACTCTGACATGTTGGTTTATGTGGGAATCACACTCCTACAAAGATGCATGTTAACGTTTCTACAGATCTTTGCAGAGAAAAGCGTTATGGGTAATTGTAGGCTACAACAAGCTATTGTTCTCATCATGAATCATTTTTCAATAATTTATTAAGTCTATAAAATACGACATGTCTATTACAGTTTCCATTGTTTTCCGGTCCTGAAATCACTTGTTTCCTTTACTCTCTTATATATGAAATCTCTGATACATCCAAAAATAATCCTCAAAAAGCCTGTTTTAATTCAGAAAATAAAAACATGTAGATTTAAGCTTTAACGTAGATTTAAAGGCAGAATAACTTTGCAGCGAATTTCAACAGTTTTTATAAACAAATAAACTTTTTAAATGGGACATAAGATACAAGTTTTATGGTCAATAAAATCTTAGTACAGTAAAATAAAAACTGAATAAGACGGTAAAATCAGACTGGGTGTGCGACTGCAGCCAGAAAACATTTCAGTTGAGCCGAGAGGATTCGTTCTGTTCTCATAATGAAACTGCTTGTTATTACAGCTCAGTAATTTAATGACAAATCATCACATTCCAACATGAACAGAAGGGAAAACCATCTGTGGGAAAAAAAAAAGAAAAGCTCGTCAGAACATAAGTAAAGCCCCACACAGAGATGAGGACAGAGACTTCAACAAGAACCTCAAAGCCACGTGGAGACCGTTCAGTTTACAACAATGAAGCCAGCATTATGTAATTAGTGGTGGCAGTCTGATGTTGGGAGATGTAGAGGAATTTTTTTTCACTTTAAACTGTTTGTTTCTGTTTTCTCTGTTGTTTGAAATGTGAGAATATATCTGCTCTGTGTTCAGAGTAGCGGACACAAACCGACTGTAACGTAACAACAACCAAACAGACCAGAGTCCAGTTTACAGAAACATACAGTTACAGATGTTGGACCAAGATACTTTTACTGAAAAGTCTGATGTTAGACATAAATATTTGATCTGCTTTGTTCAGTGTACAGTCAAATGCCTGTCCAGTCACCATGGAAACCAATCAACTTTGTAAATGTTACAGGATACTTCAGTGTGGAAAGTTCATTCTTGATCCCGATAACAACACTAGTTTAAGAAAATAATCATATCCCATGTTCAATCTACTAGCTTTTTTTCCCCCCGAGCTTTCAACCTTATCTCAGTTTTTATCTGCAGATGGAGTTTGCTCAGCTGTCAAAGATAAATACAATCTGGGACCTCTGCCACGTAATAACAGAATAATTTCTTAAATTAATTCCCAAAACATTCTTAAAAGAAAATGCTAATCACTCAGTGTTTCCATTATCTAGGGTTATCTGACTATTTTGAAGAGGGTCACAAAAATGACATGACATCAGAAAACTGACATTAACTCTTGTGTCACTCTAGTAACATTGGTGCTCCTCATATTACGTCATTGTTGTCTAGAAATATCTATTTTCATCATCCTTCACTGCATCTTCTTTAAGTTTGAAAATAGTGAAAATTTACTTTTACGTTACATTATCTAATGTTGTGCATATAAAACTAAAAAAAAGAAATAAAACAATCTCAGGCTTTGGGGGCTCCACAGCTTCACAGAGCCCAGGATGACATCTTTAAATGTCTTGTTTTATCCAAATAATAGTCAAAAAACCCAAAGATATTCAGTTCATATTGATATAAAATATAGAAATGGTTGTAATCCTTACATTAGAGAGGCTGGAAACTAAGAATGATTGGTGTTTTTGCTTGAAAAACTATTAATTTAATATCAAAACTATTTGTCAATGAGCAAGTCAAATAGTTTCGCAGCTTGTGAAAACATGAAAATATGCACTGAACACCTTCGGGTGAACACAGCAGAGTCTGATAGTTGCTGTATTATTTAAACAAAACCCTGCAATTTACCAGACAATGAAAAGCAAGAGCTCTGACAGCAAGACAATATTTTAAAGAGAAAAGAAAAGCTCTAAAGTATGTGTGCTCCAGCAGAGATGACAGGGTGACAGTGTCACTGCTCGCAGTAAAGGGGACAGGGATAATAGAGAGACAGTATTTAAGAGAAATAACCTGAGGCTCTTAACTACCTGTGTTCCTATAGACCTGGCAAAGAGCATACCATTAGAAAGGATAAATGACAGACAGGACAGACTTAAAATAGACACAAAGAGCCTCTTCCTGCTATATCATAGTGGTTTACAGTCTTTCTAACTGACTCACTGCCAGTCACAGCCTCGTCCCGTCCCAGGTCTGATGTTGAAAGGTGAAGTTAATGCAGAGGGAGGAGTGGAAACGCTACAAATCACTGCTTTGTCTGGTTCTGATGGTAAAGTACAAGCTTTAGATTTGACTAGACGTACACAACAATTACTGCAGCAGGGCCTGCTGCTGCTGAGGAGGATGATAATGGTCGGCGTGAGGGTCTAAAGTGGAGACCCACAGGTTGCTGGTTTGAATTTGCTTTGTTCCGCCACACACATCTCCAATTTGTTCAGTGACTCAAATAGGTCCGATGTTGTGCTCATCAACAGCTGTTTCCTTCGTTGGAAAACCAGAGTCACGCAAAGCCCTGTAGGCGGAAACAAGAATAGGGAATAGTCATCTTCCCCTTTTTAAAGTCCATATCAAGCAATAGCTTTTGAGACAAAAACATTCAGTCATTAAATCGCTTCTGCTTCATTCGCCACTTCTGAGCTCCCAAAACAATATGTTGGTTCATATGCAACTTGCTTTTAATTGATTAGGGCAAAATACCCCCTAATACTGCTAACATAAACACCATGTCAGAGTGAATAATAAATTCAAAATGAGATGGCACTCCAGTCCAATAATCAGGCGACATCAACCTCAGACTCCTCTTTTCTGCTGGGACCAAAATTGTTAACTCTGATTTACAGTGAAATGCCTGTTTTCCAGCCAGGGGGCGTCATTGTAACCGAATGGTTAAAACGTCTTTCAAACGACTGCAATGACCCAAGTTTGATTTCAGTCAGGGAACTTTGTTGCATGTCTTGCTGCTGTCTTCGTCTCTTTTCCAAACAGCAACAACAAAAAATAAATAAATAAAATCAAAAAGGACAGCCATAAATAATTAGCTCTTTGTTTGTCCAGTTGCCAGTTGTCAGCAGTTTGCAGGTAATTGTGGTAATTGTCTAGTAATTATGGAAAGATCGCGGTTAGTCAGCTGTCCACAGTCAGCTAGATGTGCACAGTAAACACGGCTGTAAACAATCGCCGACCATCGTTATGTATGGTCGCACTAGTATTTTGCAGCATTCGATGGTTATTTCCTCGTAAAGACACAACACATACATAGGGCCAAGCTTCAGGCTGACTGAAGACTTTTATATATACAAATAAAACACACTCATTCAAAGAACCTATAAAGTGTCTACTTTTATTATGAAAACACAAGGCTCACAGGAACAATGAGGGATATGTGAATGAAAAGAAGCAGCACATTTGCCTCTTTTCCTCATTCACTGCCGTTTAAAACACCGTCACCCACAGCTGGTCAAGTGTGTCATGTGACTGGTAGTAGGTACCAACAGAGATACTTTCGGCATCTGCACAGTCGCAGAAAAACTTGCAGATGATTTGCGTACTTTAAGCCCTACTTTTATGACCACACTGATTGATTGTATGTGGCAGCTGCATGTGTGAACACATCCACCTACACCCAGTGAAATATAAATAAAATCATGTCCATGTTTCAGATTTCACTGCCTTATTACTGAGGTTAAATGCTTTTGCATTTCAAGCTACAGAGTCTAAAAGATTTATCATGAAAACTGGTAATTGTCATAGTCTATCAGCTGCCAAATGACTTCTACTCCCTCCACAGACACCGAGTGACTTCACAAAAGATTTTGAACTATAATGAGCTGCTGAACTGTCTGTTATGTGTCGGTATTGTTTCAGGTAAGCAGGGCCAGTGTGTGTACCAGGGTCTGACCATGTTCGATCAGGCCGTCTGGTCTCCAAAGCCCTGTGTGACTTGTCTGTGTACCGGAGGGCGGGTGGTTTGTGACGAGATCACCTGTCCCACAATGCAGTGCCACTTCCCCTTCACCCCTGCTGGGGAGTGCTGCCCCGTCTGCATGGAGCCAGGTAGAAACACAACATGTGGCAACGCCATGGTGCAACATGCAATGGAGCAACAGAGATTGGGAAACGTTTCTGACAATCAGGGCCAATGTTTGAAGGGTTTCATTCATTCAACACATTACATCATAAAAACTTAAAAACAGCTTTGACAGGAAAAGTCACATTTTTCACATCATAATTCTTCATGTTTAAATGGTTTAAATTAGTGTTCATTACATTGACTGACAGCCTTCAGTTTAACATGATGAATGTACTGTAGAACTGATTATTTTAAGTAAAAAAAACATCCAGTTCCATCACTATAAACACATGCAGACAAAAAAGACATTGTGCGTTCTTGTGACCAGCAGATGATGAATTTGGAGCTGTTAAGGCCGAGGGGACAATGAGTCTTTACATTCTCTACAGTAACCATGTGTTAGGAGTCAGAGTTAATTTAATCTAATTATTTTTGGAATGAAACTCTTCATTATGTAATCTTTTTTTTACTTATCACTGGTTTCTTGGAAGAAATTAAACTAAACCGTTTCCATCTCTGAGGCCTCCGCATGTTGCTTTCTGTTTCCATCATGGCCTCAGAAAATGTGGCTAGCACATTTTGGGTCAGTCAACACACATGTTGTGAGAGTTTTAACGTGTCTGTACGTTGGGAGATACCACGTGTTGTTTCCAACATGTCCACGGTTGGTTTCACCTTACTGTCCGTTCAATCTCACCAAAATGAAGACTGGATGTACGACTGAATCTACAATAAAGACACAGGGATGTATAGACGAGTTGCCGAGCGACATTATTGTGAGATGCGTGCACATGCTGGAGGCAGAAAACATATACAAAATGATCTTGAAACAATAATTTTACTGCTTTACACCTAAATACTGAATACTTATTCCTAAATAAGGCAATGAGTTTTCTACCTCCCTGCTGAACATGCATCCTCTACTGTTAACAGACAACCCGTCTATAAAACCTCTGTCAAAAAAAGAGGTTGAATTGACAGTAACTAACTCACTGTGCGCATGTGTGGAGGTGAAGCAGGAGAAAACTCCTGGAAGTCATTTTGACTATGACTTATCAGTGTATGTAGATGAATACAGCATTAATATACCAGTAACCATAGAAACATGAGCGTACGTATCTGTGTATAAACTATGCTGCTGTATGCAGAAGACATAGTTTACATTCAATTTAACCGACCTCACTTTGTCATCAAAGAATAAAATCAGCTAATGTGAAAAGACCAACGTCACCTGACGGTGCTCGTACAGGTACAGTTCAGTGGGACTCGGTCCAGACTGGTCTACAGCAGCAGTCTGCTCTGTAGCGTCAACAAGCTGGTCTTGTACCTGTCTGTGTGGACAAATGTGGGTGTCTGTCTGACTGTCTAAAACACTAACACAGCCGTCTCTGTCTGTCTGTCCACCTCCTGTCTGTCCATCTGTCCCCATCAACTTTCATCTCCACCCTGTATTCTCTTTTAGTTTTCTTTATTCTTTTCTTTTTCCACATCTTCTTCTTGCTTCCTGTCCTGTCTTTCTCTACTCTCCTATTCCTACACCCTTCCTTCCTTCCTTCCTTCCTTCTTTCTCTACCATCACCTTTTTCTTTCCTCCCGACCGACTCCTGCCTCCTACCACCTCCTGCCATCTGATTGGCTGCCCCGCACAACCTAGAGCCTGACCTCAGCCTTGACCTTTCTGGTGACTCCCCAGTTCGCAGTGACCCCAGCGACCCTGTGACCCCGCTGACCCAGGAGGAGATCCAGCGAATCCTCTGGCGAGAGGAAGAGGAGCACCGCGAGGAGGAGGAGCGCCTGAGGAAGAAGGATGAGACGAGGAAGAAGAGGAGGAAGCAGAGGAAGGAGCAGGCGGAGAGACAGAGAAAGATAGTGGAGGAGAGGAGGAGGGAAGAGGAGGAGGCCCTGAGGCTGCAGGTGGAGAAGGAGGAGGAGGAGTGGAGGAGGCAGATGGAAGAGAGGAGGAGGCAGGAGGAGGAAGACAGGAGGCGGAAGGAAGCGGCAGAGAGAGAAGCAAGGGAGAAGGAAAGGAGGCTAGAGGAGGAAAGAAGGAGGCAGGAGGAGATACTGAGGGAGAAACTACTGGCTCTGGTGGAGGAGGAGGAGGAGGAGGAGGAGCGGCAGGGGGAGGCAGAGGAGGAAGAGGAGGTGTGGCTGAGAGGAGACGTGTTTCAGATGCTCCCAAAAGAACCTGAGGAACCTGAGGAGCCAGACCTCCTCCCCGCTCCAATCCCAAGACCTCCTGCTGCAACGGAGGACGAGCTGAAGGAAGTGGAGGCAGAGGAGTTCGAGGAGGAAGGGGAGGAGAGGGAGGTGGTGGTGGTAATGAACAGAGGAGGCCTCCCTCCAGGGTGCGACATCTCTGATGTCACTGTGACATGTGAGAATGCCAAACTCATCCACTTCCCTCCTCTGTCCATCCCGGAGCTCAAATCTCTCAGTCTGGAGGGTAAGTCACCACGACAACAAGCCAAGGAGCTGAAACACTCTGCAACTTATAGAGGAATCTTTACAGCTTTAACACAACTGTAATAGTAATCTACTGAATCTAAATCCAGTATTGAATCTACACAGACTTTTAATTCTGGATCTGAAAATGACTGAAAGGTTTAAGTGATTCTGAGATTCTGACCCCACAGACTGATCTGATGCAACCGGCTAATGGTTTCAACAGAGAACACTCACCACACTGTCGGTCTGTTGGACAACAAAAACACACAGTCCGCTTATGATTACAGAGTGATATTACTGAGGGGTGCTTCTTTTACCTCACAAGTTATCGTTGGCAGAGTTAAGACAAAGCAGAGGGAACATTAAACAGCCAGCAGCCAGTTTTGACCATGCAACATTAATGTTAATTATTTAAGGCTGACAAAACCGACTGATGTCATTTTAAAATGACAAAAGTGATGGTTAAATGAGAAGCTGTTTCCTGATTTTTTTTAGTACATTGTTCCAAAAAAGAGCGAGGATAGACAAAGTATTCAGAGTGAGATTTGTTAGACTTGCAGCCCAGCAGATCCGATCAAACTAGAACCAGAATTAAAAAATGGAAGCTGCTATTGCAACACAATTCTTGGCATTTGGGAACAAATGATGTAAATAAACGCGAATTCAAGCAACTTAAGAAACACAATCACCAACTTGAAAACACATACAAGAGATACAGAAACACACTGCAACTACAACTACTACTATTAACTACAGAAATCCTGTTAATCTTGCCTTTAAATTGCCACCTAGGGATAAATAAAGTTTATTGAATTAAATCAAATTCTCAGTGCTAACAAACTGAAACTGTTCTGACTTGCAGGCAACAACATCAGCAGCATCCCAGCAGAAGCCTTCAATGGCATTCCCAACCTGGAGTGGATCAACCTGAAGAAAAACAAACTCACCTCCGCCGGCATTGATGCTAAAGCCTTCAAAGTAAGACATACCGACTCACTCAACCAATGCATCCCTTCAAAATAAAAGCCAACTTTTTTTTTAACCGGCTGTTTGTCACACACTAATGTTTCTCTGGAGGCTTGAAGAAATGATGATAATGATTTAAGTGACAGAAGCCTCCAATAAGTAAAGTGTGAAGGCAGACATATAAAACAGACTTATTGAACATATAAAGAAAAGCAGTCAACCAGACGGAAAAGAAATGTGAGCAAATTTCTGTGATATCATGGTGCAAATGTCCTCATGTCTCAAACAGACCAACAAGACCAGATAAAACTTACACAAGTCAGGAATTGTTTTATGAACTTGCAAGCTCTTTAATGTGACCTGGAAGTGAATTTAATAACAAACAAACAAACAAAAAAAAGAAACCCATGAAAAGAGCAGAAGAGGAAGATGGACGGGTATTTCTAGAGTTAACATTTGTGGCATGACAGAGGGCAGTCAGTCCCGCTAACATCACCATCAGGCACCCGCCAGTATCACTAGCACCTACAATATGTGTATGTGTCAGGGTCTGAAGATGCTGAGACGTCTGTACTTGGACGGGAACCTTCTAGACGCCGTGCCCTCTGACCTCCCGCCCACCCTGCAGGAGCTAAAGATCAACGAGAACAAACTGAGAGGTATCGACGAAAACAGCTTCCAAGGTACTGATACAGCATCCCATAATGCACCTCCATACTCACATCAGCTTTAATGTCCCCCTGCCAGCCATCAGTCGTTTACACACAACAACTTCTGGTCTGAAAATAACATGATGCAACCACCTCTATAGACTCAATAACGTTGATCTTGAGAATCGTGAAACTGCTGTTCACTCTGACAAACTGATAATAGTGTGTCCTTCTCCAGGAAACCCTCTTTGGTCAAGTGCAGTAGACACCAACATGCAGAAACAGCATCCAGCCAGCTCACTGAGATAATGCTAATTGGCTACAGTGAACCGAAGTTATCATTTCATCCAGTACAATCACCGTCTTCTTACAGGTTGACATCATTAATAATGTAATCTATAGGCCCAATTATAATCATGCTGATTTGAAAATTCACCTTATTCAAAATGAATTTCAGTACATAAATAATTAGGTCCTCTACACATGTTCAGTGCGAAAAGCACTCTGCGTTGGCGTGAGCTGCTGTGCTGTGAAGTGCATTTTCGATAATCTCTAATGTTTCATTGTAATGTCATAAATGTATGTTATACAGAACATAATGAAATTAGAAATTATTTTACTATTGTAGTCTGACAGATGTTTCTTTACTACATTGATTCAAAGACAAATTTCCAGTTGAAGTAAAGTGACATATATATATATATTTTTATCTTTAAGATCTGAGCAGCCTGGTGATTCTGGAGCTGGAAGGAAATCTGCTGAGTGAGGGGAATGTAGCTCCTCTGGCCTTCGCTCCCCTCATCCAGCTCTCCTACCTCAGACTGGGCAGAAACCACTTCCGCACCATACCACAGGGCCTTCCGACTACACTGCTGGTATATCTGTTTACGTAACTATCTCTGCTCATTCCTCACGCAGGCAGACTGTTGACTACCTTTATAAAAGTCCAAGTCACAATGCTCTCTCCTGGGTTCAAGAGCTATGGCCAACCACACACTGCTGTTTTGGTGTGATGGTGCCACCAGAAAAACGGACCTTAGTGAGAATAGTCATCATGGCACAACCTTCAGTGTTCCAATAAGTTTGAAGGACCAATTATGAACCCCCCAAAAAAACCCTAAAAAATATTCACAGACTATCAGTTACAATATAATAAACACTAATATTAAATGAATCTATCAACCCACCATCAACATACTGATTTAAATTAAATCTCATCAAGCATTCAGTCACATTATCAGAGGTTTGCTGATGCATCATTATTTTCTTTTTGGCTGTGATGTTTAAGACTCCTCCACTGAGTAAACTCTGCTTCTACCTGTGGGAAACCAGTCCACCCAACTTGTAATTATGGCCTCTGCTTAACCACAAACACTGCAGACCACCAGCTACATGGTGCTGCTGTAAATCCATCTAAAAACCAACTTCATGTTATGACTCTGGGGAGTTTCAACTCGCTCACTGCAAATCCAACCCCCCCATACCTTTCCTTGTCATTAACTTTGAAGATTGTGGTCTACCTTTAAACATGTCGTCTTTGCTAATTATCTCTGGGATCCCAGGATTTATCAAACGCATTACCTTTGTATAGCCATGGATTATTATGACCATAACATAGACTGTAGGCAGAAACCAACAAAGACTGCAGGAGAATTCAGTTTTGGGGTGGATTATGCATTTATAACGTGAAATAGTCTCAAAAAACCACAGACTTGTCTGCCAAGATCTCTGAATAAAAAGCACTCAGTAAACACAAAAGTTTAATGGCAAACTCATAACACCCCTACTGTTGCTTTTATATTGGTTTCATAAAAAAAAAAATTATACATATTATACAATCCTACCGTAACTCTGAAACTAAATTCCAGTAGTTGTCAGTGAGTTTCTACCTATCAAAACACTTTGCATTCAGACCCGGATGATGACAAACATTTGGTTGGTTTTTTCTGTCTTCAGGAGCTGTACTTGGAGAACAATCTGATTGAGGAAATCTCAGAGACAGTTTTCAATCAGACCAGAAGTCTGAACGTGGTTTCTCTGAGACACAACAGGCTGGATGAGACCAGGATCGCACCGATGGCCTGGATCAACCACAGGTCTGACAAAAAGACACATGTCACTATCACCCATGATCCTCCAGGGTCACAGGAATTTGCTAGCATAAATTTTGGCTGTCACCAATACAGACACTGTAATTTTCATTTCATTACAATACCATCATGTGCCGTTTACAGCAGTGCAGTTACATAATTAGTACCTATCCTGATGAGTGAGAGTGAGGGTAAAGAACATTTACTTTGGCACTACATTAACAGAACCAAAGTTTTAATCTGCTGTAATCCATGAGAATCAGTTATGTTTTCTCTCACTTCCATTTACTGACGAATCCTCTCCTCATCCTTTCCCTTCCTCTGCAGAAATCTGGAGTCGATCGACCTTTCACATAATGACCTTTACCTGGTTCCGTCCTACCTGCCCAGATCTCTGGTCCATCTAGTGCTGGTGGGAAACAAGATCGAGAGGATACCTGGTAGGTGGAAAGTATGAAACCTAACTTGATACCTAGATTGGCATGTGCATGATACCTGGAGGATTGAAATCAAGAACGGCAAACTACTATATCACTGGGGGAGTGAAAAGAGCTCTAAAATGGATTTTGTATGTGATAGATTTCAAACCTCTTTTTTCTTTTTTAAATGGCTACTTTATTAGTGGTGGGGAGAGCTGCTATGGCTGCATCTGGAAATCAAGTCATAGTTGATGGACTGTTTTTCACTACAGGAACTTAATGAAACTTAATATACTGTGTATTAATTGTCACAGGTTTTGCTTTTGTTTCCACTGTTCTCCATCTGCTTTGAAGACAAGCTCCTGTAGCCAAATTGTTTACTAAATCCATTTCCCAGGTACTTTCAGGGGTTGGCTGCATCGCCGTCAATCGTGACTGCACTGTGTGGTTGAGCTGATGTGATGTCATAGGAAGGAGAACTACTACAAACACAGACATAACCACAGTTTTACAACTGCATCTGCATGGAGCCGCACAACCAATACTTTAAAGAAAAAGAACAATAAAATATGTTAAAGTATGTCCAGGCCCTCAGTAGTATTTGTAGAGAGGAGGCCATTCAAAGGGAAGCTGGAGTCAGCAGTTAGAAAGATAACAGTGGCTGCAGCGGAGCAAACCAAAAAACTACCAAGTGAATTCATGCGCTTGGATGCCGTTTTGAGAAACCGACTGGCTTGTGCCAACCTCAGCAGGACCTGGATTCTCCTTCTGCCTTTGCATCTCATTATCACATAAATGTGAAAGAAAATTAATAACAATATCAGCTCCACCACTTTTCTCTGTCCCACAAACTCTTACTTTATTTGCCTACCAAAAAGGGCATTACAAAGTTTCCTTCATTTCCATCTCCACAGGTTACGTCTTTGCCCACATGGACCCTGGTTTAGAGTACCTCTACCTCTCCTACAACAAACTAGACGGAGAGGGAACTGAGCCTGAGTCGTTCTTCGGCTCTTATCACTCCATGGTGGAACTGTGTCTGGATCACAACCAGCTGGTCTCTGTGCCATCTGGCATCAATGAGATGACCAACTTACACTTTCTCAGACTCAACAATAACAGGATCAGGTATGAAGCCACCATCCATTAACATTAACATCCATCTGTTGGAGTTAAATGAAATTTCCTGTGATTTTAACATGATTACTTCCTAAGAATACATCACTCTTTTCCCAGAATTCCTAGGATTTCTCACCATAATTGAAGTTTTAATTTAAAATCATAAATCAACATTTATTCTTATTTTCTGATCTTACTCTTTTGATTATGTCGTAATATTTTATAACAGGACAATAATTCCTCTTAAAAGTAAACTTTTTTCAAACTGTGCAGAATCACTTGATCCCATTTTTCACCATATCCTCATACCTGCACCTGTTTTAATAGGTGTGAGTTATTATATGGGAGTTTATGACTGTCTTAGTGCTGACCTGAATTCATTCTGTGGGGCGTGCCAGCGAAAACCCATCACATGCAGCCAAGGAGGCGAATTGTTTCTGTGGTTTGAGGGCTACAACTATTGTTGGACGTTAAGTAACAATTGGGTGATCATCTGCACTTAATATCTACTTGTTGAAGTCTGCTCTGCTCTCTCATTCTGGATGGAGGCCTAAAGATCTGATTAAGACACTTTGTTGGACGGCCTTGACAATCTCCATTGACAGATTTGTTTTCTTTCACATTTAGTCGAAACTGTACTTTTCCACTGAACTGTAAGCGGCGATTTTAGCAGAACAAGCGACTGGAAGAAAAAGCTACAGATGAACAGTTAATGGCATGTCATGGTTGAGCTATATCTACAACAGCTGAGTGGTAGTTTTAATGAGGTCTTGGAGAAAGCATCTTTGTTTCAATACATACAACTGTTCTCAGTATGTTAAGACACAAGCAAACACATGCTAAAAATTCCAGGTATTTTTCCACCTTGATGAGAAGTCTCTGGAAATACCAGGATCTCTGATACAAGCATTTTTTCATCCATCCATCCATTTTCCAACCTGCATATCCTGCTCAAGGTCACAGGGACTGAACTCCATCTCAGCATACAGACAATCACAGGGTATCTATAACTCTATAACTAAGATCAAATTTATCAAAGCTTGGAGCTTATTTTATGAGTACTGTCCATGATTTCTGCCAGTTATGATAACATTGTACTTGAAGGATAGACAGTGTTGTATGTTATATAGATTATAAACACAGATTATAAGCACCCAAATTTTAAAAACAAATGGACTTAAAAGGTCAATTAAAGTAGCAAAAAATAACAAAACCAGGCGACTAAAGACAGAGCTTTGGAAAAAAAAAAGTTTAGTCAATACCATCCTTTAACAGCAACAATTAAAAGTCCCATAACAGACCAGAGCCTGACCAGATGACTGACTCATTCATCACAGACCGCCAGACAATATTAAAGTCGAAAGTTCACTGGACGGAGAGTCGTCTTGACGACAAGAAACAAAACAAGTTTTTCATGTCTCCACCTGGGAGTCATCCTGCATCACCTCATTACTCGCTCACAGGTCCATGCGCAGCACACACACAGTAAATCCAGGTTGTCTAATGATTTTATATAAAAGTAGCATTACAACTTAAACACTGTACCATACTCCAGCTCCACTGCTAACATGGCGACACCCCAGGTGGGACACAGTGATCAGCCTCCAAGCAAATACTGCTGATCATTTTAACATATGTGGTACTGCACAAGCAAAAACAGTAAATATTAATAAATATCAAGGAATCAAAACTTAAAAGATGGAAAGTAGGGTTACCCCAAATTAAAAGACGGATTAAAAAGATTGGTCTTTAATTTCATTTTAAAAAATACTTTGCAATTTTGTGATTCTCTTCTTGTGGGTTGGAGTTAGGAAGAAGAAAACAGTGGAAGATCTCAGAAGTCTGGTTGGAACACAAATTCAAAAGTAATCACACATATAGGAAGGTGTTAGTGAGTATAATGGCATTAAAATCAGACACAGACACCCAGTGCAGTTTTGCAAGCTGTGGGGTAATGTGAACTATTTTAGTGTATTAGTAAAAATCCTTGTTGCAGCTTTCAGAATTAACTGTAATTTTGTTTTTCAAAAGCAGCCCGGTAAAAAAAATAAAATCTGCGGGCATCTAAGCAACTTGTAATAAAAGGCATCAACATTTCAGTGTCATTGTAAATTAGACAAGGTCTCACTTTTGCAATGCCCCTAAGGGGAAAAAAAGATGCTTTTGTGACCTTGATAAATAAAATTTGAGTAAGAGTCTAAAGTCACTCCCAGATCTGCAACTTGTGTTGTAATCTGTGTGGACAAACAGCCAGATTGTTGAGAGCAGATTCTCTCTTTCCACTTTTAGTCATACAAATACAATTTCTGTTTGTTTATTTAGTTTAGAATATTTGTTATACATCCAAATATTAATGTCAGTGAGACAGGCAGTAAGAACTGTGAGATATAGAGTTGTTTATCATCTGCATAACAGTGCTCTTTGACATGATGATGGCTGATGTTTTCCAGAGGCAGCATTTATGAAGAAAATGGAATAATGCCTCAATTAAGATTTGCTGCTTTTTGTTTGACTTATTTGATAGTAAATGGAGCATCTTTAGGTTTTGGACTGACGGCTGGACAAAACAGACTTTATTTAATTATCTTGGGTTTTACGAAATTGTGATGGCCATTTTAAACCATTTTGTAGCATTTTAAAGACCAAATGAGTATTTGGGAAAATAATTTTAATAATAATTAATTAGATTAATCGATAATGACAATCATTGTTAGTTAGAGATTAACTCCCTCCTGATGCTGTGTCTTCCAGGAGTATCCCTGATGAAGGCATCTGTGACCCGAACCACAATGGAGACTCCACTCTGGTGGCACTGAGGCTGGAAAACAACAACATCGACCCCCAGAAGATCTCACCAACGGCTTTCTCCTGTGTACGCTCCTCCTCAAGTGTGGTCTTAAAACCCCAGAAAACCAAATGACCGCACAAAACCAAAAACTAAAAGACACTTGTTTGTATCCCCAGAAAAACAGGACTTATATTTTGTTTTTAAATGTGCCAAGAGAAGTCAAACCCTCTCACTAGCTTCCCCTGATGCTGTATATTACTGAAGTAACACGGAAAGTAAGAAATTACTCTCACATTATAGTCTGACATACAGCCTGAACATGGAAAACATGCATTTTAACAGTCACTGCTGACGCAATTTTCTTTAAGGCAATACATTGTCCTGTCATATCATATCCTTGGACTGAATCCTTACAAGCTGCACAAAAGTAAGATTTTATTTTCCTCTAACACGCTGTTTAAGGTCTGGTAAGTTGTTTTGCACCGTCACCTGGCCCACCTTAAACGACTGAAGGTGACAGAACATGTTCAGACTTCAAAATCAAAGACATCTGTCTCCTTTGGTAAATGTTAAACTCTCTAAAATGGAAAGAATTCCTACGCCATACACAGTAAAATGAAAATGCTAATAAAGAAATGGAAAGAATTCTATGAAGTGAGACCACAAGCCCAACACATTATTTTTAACAACCTCAGCACCTTCATGTTCCATTTCTCAGCTCAGTTTCTTCCAGTGCCTTCTTTCATAAAAGCTCTGACATGGAAAGGAGTGTCGGTAGTGAAATAACATGTGATACATCCTTCATGCTCTTTTGTGTTAAAGATTAAGAGCCGGTTAAAGGATTAAGTGAAGGTGAGCACTGTTGGAGAGCTGATCCCTGATGGATAAAGAGATAGAAGATGTAATAACATGTCTGCTTCTTGCCTGCATCCTTTACCTTTCTGATTACATTTATGCCTGACGTGAGAACTTAATGGGAGTCTCACCATCTGCCACAGATTTTGTTTTATAGTTCAGTGTCAGATTTCACATCTTGATGGCAAACCTACAATACTAGATGTATGCATTGTGTGCGGTAAAGCCATATTGTGCTCTGATTATACTCCCCACAGTAATTATTTCACTTCACGACGGTCAGCCACTTTCTTAATAACTGGAGCAACATCAAGGTAACTTCTATTTCGCCTCGTCTCTTTACTAAATAAGAGACTATTTCGTGCAATTGCCGTGTTCATGTGGTCTCATTCACTGTTGAGCAGGGTTCGCAGTGAGGTTTGCTTGCGAGTTTCTTGGGGATGAGTATATTCATGTGGAATATGTGGTCTAAAGAAACACAATTATTGGGAGAACACTCAAACAAAAGCCTTTGACCGACTGCTCTCTCCAAGAACTCAGAAAAGAGTTGAGATGTGGGAGGAACCACTGGTTCCAGAGGTCCTTTTCCCCACTGTAAATTTCCACTTCAAAGTTTTCTCTTAATGATCTCATCAGTGTTCTTCAGCAAACAAACACAACAGTCTCCTGGATAATTCAACCATACAATAGGTCTATGTTTATGCTTCAACTATCAACCTGTGTAACTGAACTGCAATGTATTAATAAGTAAACAACAGCTTTGACAGTGAATAAAAGAAGGCTTCTGCACCTTGGGAGAGTAAATCCTTTATGTGTGAGTGGAGAAGATGTGGATTAAATGGTTTACCCAGAGGTTGTATCTTTGCTTATAATAAGAGCATCGACTGGAAGTACAAAGTGCCAAACAATTTGAAATTTAGGTAAAGAAATGCTGTTTTATTACAAATACACAAACTGGCCAGCATGTCTAAATTACATGACATCCTATCTGACGTGTCAACGATCATATACTTCAGTTTCAAACAAGTTATGATGCTCAATAAACTTCACAATGTTCCCATTACTACCTGATTGATGACGTCCCACCTACATCATGTGAATAAAAACACTTTAAAATGACCAATCACATGTGCTGGTCACTACATTACTTAGGTAAAAGGAGTATTATGACAATAACAGCACTGCTACACTGGGAACTGCTGTCAATGAGCACAATACCAGACCTATTTGAACTGAAGAAAAAATTCAAGAGTTGTGATTCAGAGGTTCGGAACCAGGCTACGTAAGCCTCATGTTCCCATCTGGAACAGTGTAAAACACCTGGAGGTTTTTTAGGGTTAGACACATGTTGACACTGAATGCAAATATTCAACCTGTGAGGTGCATGAGTCATGTATCCAAACAACAAGTTAGATTATATTCCATCGAATTACCATGATCCCGTTCACTGTTTGCACATCGAGGAGTGCTTTCATTTACTTTCATGTTATCAAATTAACACCCCAGGCCTCTGGGAGGACGTGGAGCCATGATGACTACTAGAGAATGAGTCATGATAAAATGCCGTGATCTTTGCATCACGTCTTCTACCCTCAAGCAGTACACATTCAGTAAGAGCTGTAATTATCAGAGCAGGGAAAGCCAACTTTATCATAATATTTTCCTCTCAAAGCCTGAGGTTTAGGATCATTTACTTCAGTAGCAGACAGATCTAAAGGACGATTGGAACAGAAAAGCTAAAATGTGAAGAGGACAAAAACCGCAGATCCTTTTTTGGTAAGACAAATTGGAAATATTAGATGATTATATGTAGACAAAAATAAATCTGAAAGTAAAAAAGCAACAAGAACAACAATGGGTACTGTCTGGTCAGTTTCTAGATGCTGGCAGTCGTCCTGTCATCGTACTTCAGATGGAAAACTTTCTTCCAATGAGCCGAAGCTCAGAGATCAAAAGGTTTTCCTGTTGAAAAGGGAGAATTCTTCTCTTCTGCCAACTTGAGCAGCTGCTGTGTCCATCAGTCTCACAAATCAGACACATGAAGGAACAATCTAATTCTCATTAGTCACATGATCTTGTCAATGTTCCCCCGGATGAGGACGTATAGATGGTTGGTAAGATTGGACCTCGACCTCTGTTCAGCTCCATAAGAGAAGAGCCTGAATTGTGAAAGGATAGTTCTGATATATTAAATGTATTTCTTAATTTTGCAGTTTTTGTTCGGGAGATGATTTACATGATATGAAAAATAATCTACAGATATACATACCCAGTAACAAGAAGATATTACTTCAGTTTATTTCACATCTTCATTTTATTTAAAGGGAAAAATGAAAGTAAAGGCACTTAAAATTCATTGTTAAAGATTTACTGCTATCCTTGCTTTGTTTTTATTATTAACTGCTACTTACCTTCTAACTAAATAGAGTGTGCAGATCCTTGTATGAAGACGTTTCTTTTTTTAAAGGCTTTTATTTTATGAGTCTGTAATAATATAATATTTCTTGGTAAGTTTACAGTAACAATTAAGCCCAAATAAAAGCATTCTTTACTCTTCATGTTTTTCCACGTTTGCTTGTGTGTAAACATTTGTTCAGCTGATCTGCTGTGCACTAATTAAAAAACTTTCTAAGCTGCAAAAAGAATTCATTATAATCCATTCATCTGAAGCCTATGAACTGATGCTGCAATCTTATATTTAATAGGCAATAATACAGCTGTCTTTACAACGACTGATGGGTATTGATAGAGCCAGGACTCTTCAAAGCAAGTCTTTAAAATCACATTGCAACCTCAGTTTAACAGTTATTGTGCGTATGCTTGTTGAACGGGGCCAATGAGGCAACACCTAAACAATTCCTGCATCAGGTAGTGAAGTCTAAGGATGGTGACACTGGTCTGTTGTGCAGCCTGGCTGGGTTACATTCCCAGCAGCAGGTAACACACTGGTTGCAGGGTCACAGCTCTATTAAAATGTTTCCTGGCAACAAAACGTTCTTGTGGCACTAAAGCAACAACAGCGCTGAGGCAACTCCTTGGCACCGTTGCCCTGCACGTTGCCCCGGTGACTCACAGCTTTAAAGGCTCAGATGGAGGAAATTCTCTTCACTACAAGAACACAACAAGCTCCAGCAAGTCCAGAGCCATCACGGACGTCTGATGGATTGGAAAGTATGAGATCCAGAGACAGAAGAGACATCCTGACCGCCTCCCACCAGGAACGCAGACCATCTCCCATCAGGAAATAATCTCTAACATTTAATTTCTAGTTTGAATACTGTAATTCCAACAATTATGCCATAGATTCTTTTCACTACCACAAACCAATTTCCCTCTTCGGACTATTAAAGCTACTGAATTAAATCTTTCTGCGGCAGACCAGTCAGCTGAGAAGTATGAGGTTTTCATGCAGAATATCCCCCTCAACAGAAGATGACGGCACGACAGATGCCCTGCTCTAAACAAAAGTTCAACATTTTAAAGGTTGCTTTGGTATTTCTTGGACAGAGGGGAGGGACAAAAGATCTTAAGCCTCAATAGGATATACACTACTGGTCCTTGCAGCGCAGAACAAAACCTGTGTCCTCTCACAGTGCAGAGAAAGCACAAAGCTCTCAGACAGGTTTACATCAGGGTCTAATCAGATCCTTGCAATGTTTGGGAAAGTGGTATCCTTTAATCTTACAATCTGGCTCCTAACAGGGTATTGTTTCAACACAAAGTTATGGAGCTGTGATTATGAGGAATTGGAAACTGAGCCTGAGGTTTTAACAAGGGAATCTTAAATGTGGGCGTGCTAACATATCAGATAATAGCAGGTTACATTTGACTTGGTTCCATACGACTTTTGAAATGTGAGGCAGACGTACTAACACTCGTATTCAGCACTTCTCAGTGTTGAAATTCAGAGAAGTGCTTTGTTTAACTGCAACTGGTAAAACGTTTGACTCTCCAGGTTAACAGGGACAACAACAATGACACACAACGTCTATACAGGAAATTCTGTCATGGTGATCAAGCAGCTTCCTCTCTACTGGTGAGGTCAAAAATGTTCTGATGATTTAATGATGAATCATGCATTTATAATGCATTGGAAAGTGCCCACTTTCTGCAGTTTTGTATCGAGTTGCAAAAGGTTGCAGACAGAGGGAGAAGTCACATACAAGCTCTTTTAACTCATTTAATGCAGACTTTGGGAATCATAAAAATTAGTCCAGGAACAAAGGACCAAGCAGTTTGCACTTTTTAAAAGTAGTTTGTGTAGGCATTTTTGTCAGCAGAATATTTGATTGTACATAGTATAAAGGGACAAAGGTCCCAAGTCAAACTTAAACCAATGACATTTTAATTACACGGCCACCATGTCAAAGCCCTAGACACCAGGACACCCCTCTTTACACATTCTTGATGAATGATGAATTTTCACTAATAAGGTGGTTTTGAAACAAGAAAGGCTTTATCAACAGAGCTGCGCCTTAAACCGATGGGAGGACAAAGTGGAATAGTCGACCTGATGAGAGGAACAGGAAAAGAGAAGAGGAGTGGAAGCCTTGCTGTTTGCAATAAATCTAATGCAGTGTCCAAAGCATGCAAGCACTGAGAAGATGAATGCATAAACAGGACATCCCTACAGTTCAGCATCAGGGCAGGGCAAGTTGTTGAAATATGAAGCTTAAATAAAAGTAATCTGAGAATAATTCCTAAATATTTGTACCAAGCAAAGACACTGATAGTTTTGCAGTGGTATGGAACAATAACATGGGGGCACAAACTGTCAGTGTTACAACAGAAGCTTTTACATTTATTGCTTAAACTGAAATTTGTAAATGTGATTCAATCTGAACAAAATATAATATTACAAATACTATTACTAATTTCAGTTTTCTGGGAGAGTTGGAAACTACTAGTGAGAAAAACATAAAGAAATCTGATTTAATTCTTTTAAGTTTAGGATTTTCCTTTGAAGAGTATGTTGAACATGAGAGGGCTAAGCAGGCTCCTTGTTGATGAAATGATCATTTAACCAGATCGCTCATGGTTTGGAAAATATGATTTCGCCACTGAGAAGATGCATTAAAACCAGAACACAGACCCGCTCCCATTTTGGTTCGCCTGACTGCCAAACCAGGGCATAGTTGGACGGTCTGGCTCTGCCATAAGTTGCTTCAGAGTGCGGTTCCAGCTCAGCTCAGCAGAAAATACCAACACTGAATGGAAAAACGAATAGTATAACACATGAACCCCTGAGGGAGCAAGCTTCTGTTAGCTTTTCCATTCTTGGGAGGTATTTCTCATTTTTGCCCTAGGTAAAGCTTTAGGTTTTTCCTGTTGTGCCTTGTTAAGGTACATGTCATGCAGAGCACAACACAAAATAAATAATGTTGATTTGACGTCTCCTCTGTTTCTTGTCTGCCTCCTGTCTCTGCTTTCCAAATAATGAGGGAATGTATAATAACACAAAGAGAAAGCTACCAGTTCTCACTGACTCTTTGTACCACCCTTAGTCAGTATGACCTTACCACTGAAGGCTCATCTGTCTTAACAAGTCATTCAACAAATTTTCCTGTGGGGTGAGATAATGCCAGCTGTTCCCAATTTAGTTTTCTAGAAATGAGCATCAGTATCTAGAAACAAGAATAAACCCTAGTTGGCTTCATTTATCTGTTAAAGTCTTTTAGTCACGCAGTCATAGGTGTCCGTTGCACAAGTGTTTCTTACAGCTTGTTTCCTCTTTATTTAGACATGACAAGAATAATACAGAAAGATCCACAGTGCTTAGTGATACTGTTTTTGGCACCTTGTCTACAAAGGGAGAGCTGTGGAAAAAGATGTGAGAATGAGAACTGAGAACTGGGCAATTAGCTGAAATAGTATCGAAACCGGCCGCTCGTCTTGTTTAATTTGATTAATAATAAATAAATAAAGAATGCTGTATCCATTGTTTGGGCACAACATGGCTTCAGTGAAGACGACAGCAAACAAAACAAAGTCAAATGCAAAAACTGCAGAAAAACCATGACCAACGGTCATTCCACCAGTTTGTTTAATCATGTGGGACACAGTCACATTGCCGAATATGAAGAGTACATGGCTTGAGAAAAAAAGACAGACCAATAAGCGCCAAAGTAATCGTTCATTAATCGTAATTGAGGTAAAAGTTTGAAATAATGATAGTGATTTGAAGTCATATCACTCAGCTCTAATTGAGAATGAACACTGGAGAATAATGATCTCAAAGAAGAACAAGGTCTTCAGACATTTTTGGATGGGTCAATAATTGCCACTTCATCATAATGTACTGTTAACCATGAAGCTCTCCTTTACCTGATGACAAGCATCTCTACATCTCAAACATCCTCTTCCTTCACTGATCTTTATCTGAACATACCGTGGCTCTTTGTTTGGGAAAGTCAGTTTCTATCAAGATGAAGGAATTCCTCAAACAAACTGACAGATGGCATCATCCTTTAATCTGTGGGCATGTCAGCTCACCTCCACCCTGACCGTTGTTGTTTCACTGAGAGACCCAAACAACTACATCTGCTGTCCCCCCCGACTCTCCCCGTTTAACCTAGTGCCAACAGGCCTCAGTGTACGAACCATTCATGTTGATGTAAAATATTTAATATGGCAACTAGCCGTGAAGGGAGGGGAGGTGATAGACCTACCAGTATGTTCTATATAAAGACTCAAGCATTCAGGAGTCTGAAGCTAACTATCCTGGCATGACTTCAAAGCCCCTGATGAAAAGCACATGACTAAAGTCCCAACAATGCCTTTTCAAATCTAGTCGGAGACGTACAGATGGTGTGATCTCAGAGAGAGTCAAGAGCTCTTTACTGAAACTGAACCTCTCACCCTAACAGCAGAGGTTTTCCGCTGGTGGGGGTGTTCTGGGGGCCGTTTTTTTTTTTTTTTTGAAGAGAGGGTGATGCTGTTCTCTGTTCACTGGGAATGTATTGACTGAGAATCCAACTCTCAGCCTTCCAGCTGGATCCTGCTGCTGCTCTGTTAACTGCGTGGGGTTTAAACCAGGACACAAACACACCTGACAACTGAGGTAGGACACACCCTGGATTTATTAACAAAACAACAACATAACTTTTTTTAATGTTTTTTACCTGGTTAACCTGGTATGTTTTATTTTCGAAGAACACAGCATCTCTGAAGTGTTTAGGTCAGTTTACAAGACTTCTGCTGGGTGGCTTTAAAGGTGGAGGTGTTTCAGTGGAGCCACAGGATTATGCTTTATTTCACCAGCTGATGTGGGTCTGTATTAGAGGAAAAAACTGGTGTATTTATGTGACTATTCGTCAGTCTATGGACCATGTTCTAAGTGAATCAAATAATGGGCAAAATCTGAAGTATATGATGAGTGATGATATTTATTGAATGCTGTGGTCATTTATGCATTACTTGTCTTGAGTCTTGATTTCAGTTGATCTACTTTGATAAAATGCTAAGTACTTTTCCATGGACTACAGTCATTACAAGTCTTAAATACAAACACATGAGAGAAACTAACTGAATCACCTCAAATTTACAAAGCTATGAGTACCAAAACTAATCAAGAGAAAATCATCTACCAATAGTTAATTGTTGATTATCAAAATGAATTGTCTATTCAGTAACTATTTCTAAAGCAACAGTTATCAAAATGCCAAGTATTCTCTGGTTCCAGCCTCTGCATTGAGAGGATTTGCTGTTTTTCTTTGCTTTGTATTAGTGTAAAATGAATATATTTGGGTTTTGGGCTGCTGGTTAGACACAGCAAGACATCCAAAGATGTCATCTGGGGCTCTGATTAACTGGACACTGGAAATGTTACACTGCTGTAGGCTAGATTTATACTCTAAATGATTGCTAAATGAAACCAATAATAATAAGTAAGAGATTATTTGATATGGATAATAATCAGAGAGATATACTGTATGTGTGTCCTGATGGAGGCAGCAGGGATCAGAGAGGGATAATTTCCCTCTGGTTTAGATGTTTTATGAAATGCAGACCTCTGGGGAACTGAGAAGAATTTACCTGCACTAGACTAGCTGCAGTGTAGTGAAACTTAATAGTTTTCACAGCTTTTTGATTCAGTGACAGGAAAACACAACAATAGGAGAATTATCTCCAATTTACCACTAAGATGCAAAACACACATCAAGAAAACAGTCTCTTTTTGTGCTAAATGTGCACATGTGGAATAAAAGAGCCTGGGTGCAGAGAAAGGGTCTGTGCTGAGCAGTATTTGCTGTCGCAGCAGGATGCTCGACCACCACCACATACTTGTGGGTGGACTGAAAGCTCAACCGAAGGGCTCAGAATCCATCAAGATTACCAGAAGCACGCAACCAGACAATCTCAGCCTTTCTCTGCTGGCTGTGTGAATGTGTAATACAGGAGGATATATAAATCATTTTGTGAATCACCACAGATGGTGAAGAGGTGAGAGCTAGTGAAACATTTATGTTGGCTGCAAGAACTCATTTCCAATAGAGTTTTTCAGACCTTCATGGAAACACTGATAGAAAAAAGAGCAGCTTTTAATGAAACTGATCGTTCCAGGAAGTCTGCATGTGCTTTCACCCTGTGCTGTTTTAGCAATACAAAAAACAGGCTGCAGAATTGAAAATGAAATTGAGCACTTTGAGCATAATGGTTACTAAAGTTTCATATGGCTCTAACAATCTAGACAGGTGGCTGCTATTAACGTCTACAGAACTCTGAGAAAACCAGCAACAGGAGCAAATGCCACTGTCAGAATTATTATAAAATGTGATCATGGTAATCACTGTGTGTAAATCCACCCCTATAATATGCACTGATGTGCGGCCAGAGACTGGGTGCACTAGCTCCTCAAACCTAGTTACAAAGTAAGTGTTTAGAGATGATTTATGCATCACCAAATTAAAACAGGACACACCACTCACACTGATTCTTGTGTGGAGATAAGTTGTTAGTAAATATTTCCAGTTACTGTCGAGTGGAACTGTCGCACTGCTAACTGAACCAACTGATTAAAGTAACAAATGCTTGCTAATATATGACCCATTTAGACACATCTGACCTGAAAAATGGGAACATTTTAGGCTGAAATAGCATTGTTAGTGTAGCTAACATGTTAATTTTCCAAGTTTGTCTCCTACAGTTAGGTTAGCATGTAATTATTTTCTACTTACTGTGAACTGCAAGAATTCTACTAACTCAGAAACACACTTATTTCTTCATGTGGGAATATATAAATGAAACAAAGTCTTATTCACATTTACAAGTAGAGCATCAACTAAAGAAACTCAGAAAAGCTGGGAAAATGCCTTTTTTTCTGTAGCAGAACGATGTTTTTCCAGTCTAATTCTCCAGCGATTCGAAAGGTTTCTCTTATGACCCCATCAAGGGGTCCCTCCTCCAGGCTGGGCACCTCTGCTCTAAAACAAGCAATTGCAGATGTTGAAGCAAAGCTACATTTAAAAGTCACTGTGAGTTTGTGTATTGGACACTGGAAGATGAGTACACAATAAAGAGGGCAAGTCCACTTGGCTCCTAGTAACAGGACTTAAGTCTGGCTGGGTGCAAATTAAATTTTATCTAATCAGCTGAGGTTGGTTTTTGTTGCATTGATGCAAATTTCAGACCTGTGATTACCTCTCAAAATAATGTGGTTAAAACTGAGGAAAAATAGATTCTGTGAAACTACTTTTTTTATGCATTTCAAAGTCCTGCTGAAAAACATATTACATGTCAAGGGGTCATCAACTAAAAAGTGCCATTGTATGTTATAGTGAAATTACATTAAAGCCATGCAGTGAGTTATTGTGAATTACATTACAGGATGACCATTACAGTGGCTCGTTCTTGTGGACAGTGTGAGTTCAGGTAAAAACTACAGGGTTCTGCATTTCTGTTCAGTGATGTTGATGTTGGAATAAAACTGCAGGAAAAAAAAACAATCCACTGCTTGTCAGTCCCTTGAAATCAGAGTCTAGTCCTGTCTTGTCCTTGGGCTGGTTTGAGAGCTAAACTAACCTTTGTCTTTTCCTTCAGCTCTCCCTGGTTGCTGTTTCACTGACAGTCCTCTGACAAAACCATGAGGGTCTTCCTCCTGCTTTGCCTGCTGGCGCTAGGCAACGCAAAACCCTACCAGCCAATCAACGTCATGGACTTCATGAAAAACTACGACATCATGATGGCAGATGCGGGTGACGAGGATGACGAAGACGAGGATGATGACGATGACGATTTTGATGATGAAGATGAGAACTGTCCAGCTGGCTGCCACTGCTCACCCAGAGTGATGCAGTGCTCTGACCAGGGTAAGAACACATCTGGATCCACTGTGTGTTGAAAACGAGACAGATAGAAACTAGATAGAAATATGGGAGAATTCATATATATTGATGGAGGCTTGTTTTTTTTTTTGTCAGATTATAAACACTATGTGAAGTTGGAAGTTTGTGGGGACTATTTTCAGCAGCAGAAAAATCCACATTTGGTGCTTTAGTACTTCAATACGAAGTTTTGAGCAGCAGGATTGTGCACGTGGGATTGAGCTGATATAAACTACAGTGCATGTGCTCATAGTAATCAAGGAAAATAATCAATGCAATACTGTGTCTACTGTTGTGTTTTAATAGTTTCTGGACAACAGTGGAGCTCTATGACACAGAGGAATAAGCTACGTCAGACTTTGATGCACAGACAATACTTGTACATCAATCATTTCATTGTTGGTTTGGTCTGCACATGGTATTTTTTCACAAGCAGAAAAATATGGAATATTTCTATTAATCACAAATCCAGAAAAACGCCATTTTGCAAACAGTGATGAATATTGCTAATAACCATACAAATGATCTCATTCTCAACTAATTGACTGCTAAACTGTTTTATGTAAGAATCTAACAAGATGAATGTTGGAAAATGAAACTGCCACAATTGGAGATTACAATTTTTTCTGTCCACATTCATGGATGAAACAGTTTTGTCACCTTGCATCTAAGGAAATATGAATTTTTCTCATCATGGGGCAATGCAGCCTTACAGCCTAGTTTTGCTGCCAAAATTCAACTAAACTGAACTTTTGAAGTCTAATACACAGTCATCCACAATGCCTGTCCCATGGGGTTGTGGCGCTGATGGGAGGCAGAGGTTATGGTGGCAACTATTGCACTGAGTAGGATGGAGAAAAGTTAATTTTGTGCATTTCTGAATTCACTCTACTCACTGATCCTACTGAGACTAAAACTTGCAGCATGCTGTGCAGAATTACATGCTTTGATGCACTAGCTCACACAAACATTTAGTTTTTGGTATGAAACCAGTGTAAAGGGGAAAACATAACAGCATGTAATTCCATCAGTTTACACAGTCTATTTCCTATTTCATCCTATTCCCCAGGAAAACAGCAGCAAATATCATCACATTCACCCCCTCAATTGGCACATCCCAGCTTCTGGACTGTGATGATTTCCTCTGTTGAATGACAGACACTTTGTGACACAGCCAGGCCACTGCAAAATTACCAACTAATGTTGAAGTAAAAAGCTTATGTTGCAGAAAAGCCTGTAGGTCATTGCCATAGTTGTAGACTGAATATGTCAGTTGAATCCCTACCAAATTCTTTAACTAGACTTTCTTAAACTTCAGTATGGTGCACAGACCACAGTGGCTCATGGTCTTATTTCTGAATCATTATGAAAGATCATGCAGAGAAACACTGATACATTATTGTTTTAAACCTGGGATGGAGTTTGAATCAGAAAGACCACAATTAATTTTACATGAATTACTTCACCTGTATATCTCAATATTTTATACGTAATACACGGTTGCATGGGCTCTGACTTTCATCACTTTTGGTTCAACTGTGGACTCTAATCAGGCATTTGTGTTTCTGCCAACAGGTTTGATCTCTATTCCTGAGAAGATTCCTGAAGACACTGTGATGATAGACCTCCAAAACAACGATATCACTGAGATCAAGGAGGATGACTTTAAAGGCCTCAACAAGCTTTATGTAAGAGACCTTCCATAAATCTTTAGAACTGGTTTACCTTGCACAAAGTAACGAACATCCCAACCCCTTCTCGTTAACACTAAACAGACCTAAACATCAGGCATATCTGAAGTCAGAGAAGTAATGTCCATCTGATGAAAACATACTACAGGAGCAAATAAGTTCCAGTCACATCTCCTGCATGTACCTAAACCAGACATGTGCTATGAGAAATGTTGTGAAACATCAAGTCTGAGTAATGTTGATGGTACTCCTTACAATCAAACCTATGGGATACTAGAAGTGCTGATCTTTCTCCTGCCAATTAAAGCTACCTATTGAAAGTTCAGTTCAGTTCCATTTTGTTTGATTTGGACTCCAAATTTTCAAAACCACCAAGGACAATCATCACAGGTCAATTCATTCTGTGGGAAACATGGAGTATCTGTATGAAATATGTTGGCAGTCTATCCAATAATTGTGGCAAAACCAGAAATGTCATCCACATGAAAGTAGAAGAAGAAAACTCAAGGTATCACAAACATCAGTAGGGTTCATCCACTGGGGATCATATATAAAATTCTAAAATACTCAAGTTTGGGAATCTCACAATCCAATTCTGATGGTTAGTGTCACAATCTGCTTCAGAAATGATTAGTGCTTCAAATTAATATAAAAGGGGGCACCAGTTTCACTTGTGTCCTTAGTCCACCAAATTGCAATCTGAAATATAACTTCCAGTTAAGCTAAATGGTCTTGATGACCTCCCTGTCTGACAAACCGAAAAAAGCAGAGGAAACAGAGGGAAGTGTGCAAGTTAGCAGCTTTTTAATAGAAAAAGTTAACTGCAATAATTTGGGAGCATGTTAGAGTCTTCTGCTGGTTCATGAATGACGTCGAGTTTGGAAAGCAAATAAAATGTCTAAGTGCCCCCTCTTGTGTTGTTGTTAACGCTCTGTCTCCAGCAGGGGAGGACAGCCTATCTGCTCAACACTTATACAAGTGAAACTCATCATTATCCACAACACTGTATGCGTGCAGGTCTTTTGAAATCACACTGAAACAAGTTTTTGTCTTTGCCTGGCCAGAATTTACAAGTTTTGTGAAGTAATGCAGTGTGCATAGGTCGGGCCATCTGCCAATGCTAGTATTCGGTAACCTTAGCTTCAGGGTGATGCCGTATGAAGTACTGAGAAAATACTTAATTATTCAGTTATTAAACCTAAAATGTGCCAAAATGCTTGCCCTCTCTGAAGATTAACTGCAAGATAATTCTAGTGTGGGCCGTGTACACCATCTGGGTGCTGCACTGTGCCCTCAGGGTTACGCTCTGCCTCTTTCCTTCCACCAACATAATATTATCAGAAGATAATTAGAAGATTCACAATTTTTATGTGAATCGACACATAAAAAAACACTGGCATCTCTAGAACCATGACCCTCGTGTGGTTAAAAATCACCACAAGACATCTCAGACATGGAAATATACACATCCACCATTCGTTCTACAGCACAAGTATTAATTCTTTCAGAGCAAGACATCAGATCTAGTATTGCACCGATGACTTCCTATAGCAACAAGATGTCTAAATTTGGTCCAGAACTTTTGACTTTCAGTTTATTCAGACCCAAGGTCCAAGTGAATGACAGTATAATCTTGCAGCTTTTAAGGTTCTTTAAGTTTCCAGACAAGGAGCAGCTCACTAATTGAGGTGAAGTGCAGCCTGCAGACTTGTGAGATGACAGCTCCTTTGTATGAAGCTCCCAGCTGAGGAGTAGGGGCGGATCCGTCTTTGATCTAGTTGCTGTTTTCCCAGCTGGGAATAAACCACATCAAGACCTAAAACTCTGTTCTGTATCACATCAAACTGTGAGAATCTGAAGCCACAGCTTTGTAGTAATACAGTAGTTTGACATTGAGTGTTAAATGATGTAGCTGCGCTAAACCTACATAGGGTTGAGTTTTGTTTAAATTTTAACAACTTTTGATTCTACTCATGGATTCCAGTTTTAATGAAAACTTAGCTCTGATTGATTATTCAAGTATAGAATGAAACCAAAAAACTTTTTCATACTAAGCAGATTTCAGCTGCTATAACATATTATTTTGTATATTTAGTATATGTAATATTTTGTGATACTTTTTGCTAAAGATGTCAAACAAAACTATATTGCAACACACAGATTGAATGTCAATGACAGTTTATTCTTAACCTTGGAAACAAAAATCATCTTATTTTACAACTTAACGCTGTAGGAAATGCAGCAAAACTCAGTTTGAATCAAATAAGTTTTACTTCGATTGCTCTCTCCCACAACAGGGCCTGTTTCTGATTAACAACAAGATCTCTAAGATTCACCCCAAGGCCTTCAGAAACATGGACCACCTCAGACTGCTGTACCTCTCCTACAACATGCTAAATGAGGTCCCTGCAAACCTGCCTCCAAATGTCATCGAACTCCGCTTCCATGAAAACAACATCAACAGAATCCAGAAGGATGCATTTAAAGGGCTGAGGAAACTCCATGTGCTGGGTAACAATTTGATTCAGTGCCCTGTGTCAGATTAGGAATAATCAGTGTTCTCGAAGGCCAGGTGTTTTCAGTCCTTTGCCAAGAAGAAGTCTGCAGCGGTTCATTTCTCCACAGAGAAGTAATGAATACAAAACTCATGAGTTTGTAAACTCTCTCACACCACAAAATAGATTGTTTGAAATTGCCTTCCAAAATGACCCATACGACCATTTATTCACACATTATTCATAAATTTTTTGATCTGCCCCTCTGTGGTTGAGTTTTCGTTAAGTTTAGGCAACCCAAAATACTCAGTTGAGGCTAGGGGAAGACTGGTATGACTGTTGCAAACCCAGGCCACCAGTATCAAAGTCAGAGAATTTATACTGTAAAACTGTAGTTAAATTTAGGCAACTAAAGCTATTTAGTTGTGTTAAAGAACAGATTGTGGTCATGATTCAAGGAATGTTAACCATAAGGTGTCAAGGTCAGACAATTTTGTACACCCAACCATCCACCACAACCTCCAAAAATGTTTGACAATGCTATGACAAAGTCACACCACTTTTGTCTATGAGACAAAAGTCATTATTTCCACAACCATGAGATGTCCAAATTATGCTGAATCATGAATTATGCTGACTATACGTGTATGGGAACATGTCTGTATATGTTCCCATACACGTATAGTCAGCATAATTCATGATTCAGCATTCACTATGTACAGAACTGCATGCACGTCCACCCTGCTGTCCACATCCACATCTGATTTAAATTATATCAGCAACCTGATAGGTTTATAATAGAGTTAACTCTACTTAATCATTGGCATTCTGTTAATTTCAGAGATTAATATACATTTTTTGAATTACTTTTAATGTAACATGTAGCAGTGTTGGGAGCGCTGTGTCTTGGAAAACAGACCCCAGAGTACTTTTGGACAGGGACTTGTACTACAGATAGCGTTGACAGAATATTATAAGAGAACGTCTTCTGAAGGAGATAAAATGGGTCATTAATAATCAAACCAAATGTTTTGTGCTTGTCCAAACAGAGCTGGGTGCCAACCCTCTGGCCAACAGTGGGATTGAGCTGGGAGCTTTTAATGGCTTGTCGACTCTGTATATCGGAATAGCAGAGGCCAAGCTAACTGCTGTACCAAAAGGTAGAGGATCACTCACCTCATGTTATCCTGATTTAAACAAATTAATGGTAAACATATGTTTTCTCCTCCAGTCACTCACTTACTACTCTTACTACACTGGACCTCAACTGTACAACTAAATAAGGCATGAACACAGTTAAAGTCTGTTAATATGATGTTTTGATCTAGAAGGTTTGTTTCCAAATCCTTCTTATAAGAACGTAATGATACTGAACTAAAGTATGCTTACTCTATATTGTTATGTTTGATGTGTTCTGTATCTCCTAGACCTCCCGTCCTCCATCACAGAGCTGAGCCTTGACTACAACAAGATCTCTAAGGTGGAGGTAGAAGACTTCCTCAGATATAAAAACCTGCAGAGGTGAAAACCAGCCACATTTCCAAAGACATTCTTCAATAAGCAAAATTTTTGTCTAGGATGTTGCTCAAATTAATCTGTCTCTTCTTCAAAACTCTGTTTTTTGAGTGTTGAGGGTTTGCTGGTAAACGTGTTCTGTAAAAAAGATTAAGTTTTAAATAATAATGAATTTGCAAGCTTTAGCAATTAATTTCATATTTAAGTACACAGACATTTCATGACAAACACTCACTGTTATCACTGTTACCCTTACACCAAACTATTATTAAAAAGAAAAAACTCTGGAAATATCTACATCTATGTTAATACAATTTCTTAATATAAAGATTTCAAATAACATTATGTGTGTCCTTTGAGCCGCCTGGTAGTTTCAAACAAACGTCTGTAATTAAGAAATTCACTATCTCTAATACCACGCAGAGGCTTTGCTTTCTGTATGTGCAAGTTAGATCGGGAAGTCTAAATATAGGTATGTTTTTCCAATGTGATGTATAAATCAGTTATTACTTCTTAATTTCTGTAGAGTTGATTATTCTTATTCACGTCTCCTGATCAACTATCTTTTGCCATTTTTGCAGGCTAGGACTAGGTTTTAACCAGATCAAGTTTGTAGAAAATGGCAGCTTTGTCAGCATCCCAAACATCCGTGAGATCCACATGGACAACAACCGTCTGAAAAAGGTCCCACCAGGCCTCAGCTCCCTGCGCTACCTCCAGGTGAGATGCAGACACAAAACTGGTGCTGATCAGTATCAGTAGACTTAAATGCATGTAACAAAACTGATTGACCTTTTAACAGAATCATCTGGGTTTAGTTTGACAGCAGAGCTAAACATCATGAGGGCAGGGCTTCTGAGATACCGCATGTAGTTACTGTATCCATGGTTGCTGGTTGACAAGTAGCTCCAAGCCAACTTCTGCTAAAACAAAAATGTGCCCTTTTTACATTCCTATGTAAAAAAAAAAAAACAGGTCTGGGTAGGAGTAGATGTTTTTTTTGTTTTTTTTTACCATCACCAAGGAGGTTATGTATTCACCTGTGTGTGTTTGTTGGTTTGGTGGTCAGTAGGATTAGACAAAAAGTACTGAACTGATTTGCCCTGAACTTGGTGGAGGGATTGGGCATGGGCCAGGGAAGAACCAATTAAATGTTGGTGAAGATATGGTTAAAGGGGCAGAGCCAGGAAATCTTTTACCACTTTCCTTAACTTTGTGAGATAGGGCATGTGTAGGATTGTTTGGACTTGGCAGAGGTATGCACTCTACTGAGTGCAATTCCTGTTCTCTTTGGACTGAGCTAGGAAAGCAGTTTCCCCCCTGCTCCCAGTCTTTGTGCCAAGATGGACCTATCCCTGTACTTAACCCACAGAAATTAATATTTCAAAGGTTGCAGAGGCAGCAGGTTAAGTAAGGTAAGTATCTCAGACCTCTGTCTCCCTGACCATGTCCTTCAGCTCCTCCTAGAGGATCCCGAGGTATTTCATATACAAGATGGGATATGTAATCCCTAATGTGAGTTCCAGGTTTGCTTGGAGACTCCCCCCAGTCGGTGCCTAAAACACCTCCTTCTTAGTACAAAAGCCATCAATAAAAGTGCCTGCATCACTGCTGTTGATGCTTCACCTGTACACCGGATGATCTCACGCTCATACTTACCCTCATATGATACTCAAATGTTTTCACCTAGGGTAGCAACTCACTGGCAGGGTTGGGCAAGACAGCAAACCAAATGTCATGTCAGCAACCTGTAGCTATAAAATGATGCCCCGCTTTCCAACTTGTAACTCAGTCCACCTCAGCCCTTTTTTTCCTGGTCTAAAGCTTGTGAATTTTATTTTCCAAGGTTGCTGCAAAGTAGCATTAGAAGAGAATTCCCAATCATGGTTGGTTTACTGACAAAGCAGAAAAATAACTGATTAAATAAAAATCCTCTCTGTCTGTTCAGGTGATCTTCCTCCATGCCAACAAAATCGGCAGTGTGGGAGTCAACGACTTCTGTCCCATCAGATCCAGTGTCAAGAAGAACCTGTACACAGGCATCAGTCTGTTTGCCAACCCTGTTAAATACTGGGACATCCAGCCGGCCACCTTCCGCTGTGTGACCGGACGGAGGGGTGTTCAGCTCGGAAACTTCAGAAAGAAGTAGGGAGTGAAAACGAGGCATTCCAGATAGATCAGAAATGGAGAACTGCCAATATCCTTGTTACAGTATAAGGAAGGAGCTGGAAACAGTTCTGATAGATAAAATAAGATGAAACTGTAAGTCTAAAGTATTAGCTGTTCAGGAAATTAGAGAAAATTTCATTATTTCATTCTCGTATACTAGAACCTGTAGTAGATGTTGTTGAATATTTGTACAATTTACACATATAATTTCTCAGCTGGGGGGAGAAAAACAAAAGCAAAACTGTAGTCTGGATGTTGGCGCCAATAATTAATATTGAATCATAAGCTAAAACCATAAGAAAAATTCCTCAGCTACAGTCAGTATACAGGGGGTGGACATAATAACATGAACAGCTGAATGATGAAATTCACACAAGAGCCCTGCCTACCTTCGTGTGGTACAAGTCGTGAAGTGATCCTCACCTTTTGTCTCTCAACTTTTGCTGTAAACTCTCCCAGGAATAAGGCGCCTCCACCTGGTCACTTTTTGAGAAAAACCATTCAGTGACTTGACTTGAATAGTATAACATGCTGATGCCTTTTTTTTTTAATGAAAGAGATTCTTTAGTTTTTTCCTTTGTAGTTGAAAAATAAGACAACTTTTAATGAGATACAGTGTAGTAGAAAAGTTTAAGTTGTTTTCACTTCATACTTAACTTACTCTGAAACAAAATAGACCCTTTCCCTCTTTTGTCATTTCCTTTTATATTACTGCATATTTATGCCTTTGAAGTTGTGACATTGAAATTATCATAAAAGAATCCCTATTGGTCAGAGCTGTAACCTAAAGACCACTTCCACTTTAACTAAAACATATTTTCCTTCCCAGCAGAAGCCTGTGCAGTCAGTGAATGATGCCGGCATTACTTAGTGCAAAAAGTCACTTTAAAGTCCCACGTCTGTCTTCATGTGGATGTTTTATATTATCTCATTGCATGTCTGTATTGTCTTTAGTTAGAAGCTGAGAGCTACATGTCAGACTGGATTATACATTGTCCATGATGTAAACGTGTCCTCTGCAGGGCTGGGGATTATCTGTAACTAATCTAAAATTCACCCTAAACATCAATTTGTTTTAACATGAACTACAGTTGATATCGAAATTAAAGCAGGAAGTGTAACTCCCAACCCAAACTCCTGTTTCCTCCAATGTTCTCTCCTTCGATATGGTGCTATATTTATTTAGTATGTCTTTAAATAAACCTGGAACACCTCCCCATTTATGTCTTGACTTTTTATCAAAATGAAAGTAGATTTGAGTAGTTAAATTCACATTCACATTATTTCAGCTGTTATTGTCATATCCTCTTGTCCTCTAGGATGAACTTGTGATTTTAGGATATAGTTGTAATTAATTTGACTTGATTTCACATACTGAATAATCATCATCCATCATCCGTAACTATTGATTAAAACAAATTATACTCTAAAATAAAAGTGTAAATCGCTTACCAGGTGCAACAGGGACTGATTTTAATCCTCATACAAGCCTAGAACTAAGGACCAAGCAGAAAAAAAGTGCTACAACATACTGGATTTACTACTAAAGATTACAAATCTCTTTTGCCAAAAACAAATAAATTAAAATCTTCCACTAAACTTAGAAAGTCATATTTGAATTACAAACAAATGTTTGGCATTTTAGGTAGAAAAATAACTTCAACAGTTACTAGAACAAAATTATTGGTGATGAATCATTTTTGATTGACTAATCAGTTAATGAACTTACATCTCAGCTGTAAATCTGAGTAATACTTCGTGAAAATCACTTTGGGCTTGCTGTAGGAGGTAGAGCCAGTATCTGTCCTTTCTAAGTAAAAATAAATGATCAGTTTAGACCCAGATAAAAGTGAATTCTCTGCTCTGACTCCAGTGTTGCCTTCCTTGGCAGGAGGCTGGTTAAGAAGAGTTGAGCGATTCCTTTATTCACCAGCAGAGGTCACTGCACACTAAAGAGTTACAGGCCGTTCTCCTGGTTGTCAGTTTGGGTCTGGAGACTGATCCAGGAGAATGAAGACAACCAGAGTGACTGGTTTAGATTTCAATTCCTGCTCTGTCCTGTCCCTCTATTCTGCAACAAACAGGACAATACAAGGAATCTATTGTTTCTACTTCTAAAATAAGGAATCCTCAATTAGCCAGACTTACTTAGAAAATAGTTAAAGGATGGGGGAGTCTTGGAAATCTTCAAAAAATCCCTTTAAGTAATTTAAATACAAACCTCTTCCATTGTATCACAGCATTGCATACAACTTTTGAGCCTCTTGCAACAGCTTTTTATTAATATCGTACAATACGCTATCTACAGTGACTATTCATGCCAAGGATTTCATGTTTTCATTGAAGATGGCCTTGATAACAGTTGTTAAAGTTTGACATTTTGGGAAATATGCTCGTTTGCTTTCTTGCCAAGATCAGATGTGATATCTCCCTAAACAGTAACTATGAAGCTACAGCTAGCAACTATTAGCATAGCTTGACATGAAGACTGGACTAGTCTGTACTAGAAATTTTAATTAAGCATGCATGTTGCTTAATATTTGATAAACAGTTTATTTGCCCATCCATCGATTATACGTTTAGTGCTACAGATTTGGTGATAATGATCTGTGTTCGTTACTTCAAGGTTACACAAGGTATTACTGCTTCCTTGACGTGATGTAATGTGATGATGCTGTTGGTTTTTCATGTATAGTATAAACTCCTGAGAGATCACTCCGCCACTACCACTCTGGGCTGCCAGTTATGGAGAGAAAGGCAGTGTAATTCAACCATTGTCCAGCAAATTCAAGTGGTCATTGTATTGAGTCTTTATGGAAGTTGCTTCAAATGAGCGCTGATGCTGGACACAAGATGTTACTCATCCTTGCCTCGCTGACAAAAACCATTCAAACAGGGAAACGCACATACAGGAATAATGAAAGTGATGAAACCAATGTGAAAACGTGACAGGCTGTGTGTGTTTTCTTTGCTCTCTCAGTCTCTGTGGGAGGCCCATGTCAAACAGCAGCCAGCTCCCTGCAGACTCCCAGAAACCCAACACCTGCCAGCTGCCTTCATCATATCCATCTTTACCTGAAATCGATATCTACAGTTTACGGAAAATGAGACCGAGCTGCAGTAGTACAGTACTATAACGTAGTGCTGCGGATGGTTTGCTGCTTGACCGGTTTGTCTTTTTAAATGAAGACTCCTTTTGCTGTGGGTGGGGTGGAGGGGAGCTGCCTCTCTCTCTCTTTCTTCAGGAAACATATGGAACAGATCTGCCGTTTGGCCAGGCCTCTTTCTGCCACGTCTCACAGCCACACACACACACACACACACACACACACACACACACACACACACAAATGGTCCTAACTTCAGGGCTTTTGCCTCTCTTCACCCTCTGCTTTTGCTCTTTTCTATCTTCTACTTTACTCTTGTCATGTCCTCTCCCATCTTCCACCCAGGACTTCTCTCTACCAGCCTTTCAACCTGCACAGATGAGCCTTTCAGCTAGTGAACTCAGTTAGAAAAATAAACTGATTAACAATTTGAGGATGCTTTCCATGCAAAAGTAGAGGACATGTTAGTTATGTCCCAATTCAGTCACCTCCTTCAAACATTTTCTTGTCAATTTATAGTTAGCAACTTGTCACCTGACGCGAATTATACAGCGTTTTATAGTGGAGGTTCCCTGCCTCACCTGAAGTAAAGAGCGCCTTAACTACCATCAGAATATATTATATGAGGAGTGAGGTGATTTTGTTTAAGCCGTCATCTAGTAACTACATTTAAAATGAGATAAGATGCATCAGGATCTTCTGATTCAGCTCAGCAGGTTCACAAGTTTGGAAAAGGCAAGACAACCGACTCAATCAGGTGCTGAGGATGTGTGAGGAAATACTAATCACTGCTCTGCAGGTCAGATACCAGGCTGAAGTCAGGTTAATTACCAGCTGAAGAAAATGTTTCAGAGTCTGCTTTGAGTTGAAGTTGAGTTGAAGTGACCCATTGTGAAATGGTGTTTTCACTTGGTACAAACCAAAACAACTAATTATTATTCATAATTGGCTTATGATCAGTTATGATCTATTCATTTGCTGTGAATCAACTAACTTCAGTACTACATAATCAATTCCCATACACTTTGAAAAAACTGCATATTCATCATATGTGAGATAATTGTGTCCATGAATAAGTCACCTCCATCCTTCAGCTCCCTTCTTATTATCTCTTCATGTTTGCATTGTCCAACTGTTCATCAGAATCTGCTATATGTCTGTATCTAATTCAGTGTTACTGCGATGATGCAATATTCCCACAAAGATAACTAAAGCACCATCATCTCCTTTAGTCAGCTCCTCCTCGCCAGGCCTCGTGAAGTTCTTTCAGGTGAAAGGCTGCTGGACACTTTCTTAAGTAAGTCGGTGATGTGTGCAGGATTTATTATGTCTTCTCGGGAACATGTCTACTTTAAAGGCTGTTTAACTGCCTGAGGAGATAAATCAGCTGTCCCTCTCTGCACTTCAAATATTTCAAATCCAAAAACAACAAATTCAAATCACTTCTCCAAGCTACTATCCAGTCCTTCTCTTTAACCTCCCTTAGCCATCAAACAACTCTGAACAACTTTTTCTCATCAAGGACCCCTTCATGTATAAGCCACAAAGCAAGGCACGCCATATGATTATGTCACAGCCTCAGATGATGTAAATGTAGAAGAAGTGGAAGCTTTGCAGCTCCAGAGGTGGACTGCACCAAACCAACTTTATTTATTTTATAGCTTTTATATAATTTTGACTGCATGACCGATTTAAAAGTAGTCTAAATACAACAGTGTTAACAGTGTCCGTTCGTTAAGTTCATAATCCAATCTGACTTGTCATAATGAATTTACTTTAACACAGACAGTTGAGGAGGTTTAATATTTTTAAACTTGGCTGCACTGTTGAGGTGGTTGGAGCAAAATGAGACTCGATCCTGCTGAACGAGTTTGATGGTAATTAGTTATTTGATGCCCAGAGTGTCAGAAATATTTTCCATCAAAGAAAAGTTGGGAGAAACATTGGGATTTTATGGTTTGCATTTCATCATTTTTGATATGTTTGTCTTCAGGGGACACACTGAATGACCTTGATTATGCTGTGAGCCTGGAAGAAGCTGGTTAGAGGCCAACAAAAGAGGCAGAGGAGGCACAGAGGGAGCTCAGGTTTCCAGAGTATAAACTTAGGACAAAGTGGCCCATGGTAGAGTCATCAAGCAGGAGAGGGTCACTGCTCCTGTGATTGAAGAGCCCAAAACCTCATCAATCACTTTACAACTTCACTGATGAATTCAAGGCTACTGAAATATCACACGACCTTCTAATTCTCATTTACTTTCCAGTAAGAATAATGTCAGTGTTTCCTTTTCAAAGCTGATGTTCCACCATTTAAAAGACTTACTGGTCAAATAGTTGAAAGGTCACCTAACTCAGTTTCTTCTGTGCTACCACAAGCTTCCCCTCAAAAAGCTACAGATCCTTCAGAGGAGACGTAAGTAAAGCCCATATGGCAGCATCGTTTCAGGAGATTCTCCAAGGAGGGACACATATTGTGGTAATAATCTCTCAACAGTTGTACACACAACTGTAAAACTACGGTAAGTAAGGCAGGTCAAAGTTGAAGCAGGAATTGGGTCTGTACACTGCAATGTTTCTGCAAAAATATTGCTGTTCACCTTTATTTTATTTTCCAAAGAAGTTTGTTTCCAACCTCTCTGATTGTCAGACTGCTGTTGTCACGTCAAACAAAAAGTTTCTGCTAACCAATCATTACAGGTAAAATCCAAACTCAACTTTTGCTGCTTCAGCTATTGCACCTGTAAAGTGTCCACTAAGCCACTTTCCAAAAACTGTTTCAGGAGCGAATAAATCTGAACAGGCCACAGTGTTTTAAGGCACACTCCACATCTGGCAACATCTGGCTACAAATGAGCTGTGTAGTACAGTAATAATCACAAAAACATGTGTATTGTATCCTTTTAAAATTGTCGAAAATAAACTTATTGATGACGATTATTGATGCATCCCCGCTTTCAGGATCCAGTTTATGGTTCTGTTTATAAAATGCACCGAAAAAGAAAACGTTGGGATTGATCTTGGA